CATACCTGAGGGTTCACATCAAGAACAGCGTTGGGCGTGCCGGTGCTGTTCTGCCTAACCCTTGTACGAACGATGACAGGCGCGTCAGTTCACCACGACGTCCACTGGGACGGGATGGAATGCCATGACCGGTAGACGACGCCTGCGCATGGCGCCAGTAATGGATAGGGTCATCGACGTGGAGCTGTTCCTGTTGACATCTATAGGATTGGCGAGACCCGCATGAAGAAGAAGGACCCGGCGATCCTGAAGGCATTCTTCTCTCTCTCATTCTTTTTTTTCCTCCCCTGTAACCCGCGCTTTCCCTTGGCCTATAAAAGGGAAAGCAGGGCGTCCTATGAAAGGGATCTGATTCAGGACCGACCGACCCATTGAAATCCAATCCAGATCAACACAAAAGCACGACACGAGCACACGGCTAGCAGCAACCGAGCTCTCGGCATCCGTTCACTCCTTCCATCAGAGACTTGGGATCATTTCCCTCTCTCGCTCGTTTGTAACCCCTACTACAAACTTTCAATGTTAGTAACACGAGCAGCAGCGACGAATTGGACGTAGTGACTTTCTATCCGAACCAGTATAAACCTCGTGTCCTCTAAGCATACCATCCGAGCCAGACGCGCAAATCCAAATTTACTCATCGGTGGTTCGAAACACCGACACTATTCTTTTCTTAATTTATTTTTTCAAATTTACTACTCTTTTCGTCCTAAAATGTAAGTGTTCTCAGTTGTTCTCCATCCCAAGTTTCACCATGTTTGTATAAAAAAGTAATCTACCCCATACAAATGTAGATTATGAAAATACATCTCATAATGTATCTAATGTTTGTTTGATATCATAAATATTATTATTCTTTTTAAATACTTGATCAAAATTTGAATGGTTCGACTTAGGACAATTAAAAGGAGATTGAGAGGGATTGAGATTATCAAACAAGCCAAAGACGGAGCAATGTGTACATGGAAGAACGATAGTTCCAGTTTTTTTTACTACGGTAATTCTTGGTACATGGCGTCCATCCGTGACTCCTGTCGGAACGCGGGCACGCGGCTCCGTAGGAGTAGGCCCTCTCTCTCTTAGAAATTGAAGAATGAATCCCCATTCGCTGATCCTTATCTGCCCAGCGTCCGACGCGCCAGCGTGACCGCTCATTCATCCACACCTCTTCCCCCACCGCGCGCTCGTCGGCTGTCGCGTCGTGTCCTTCCCTCCACCGCCCCCCGCCCCATTGCTGGCCGCGCCGTGCGCCCGTCCCAGTCACCTGTGCCACTCGCTCCCTCGTCGCCTGTCTGTCTGTCTCCCATCATCGTCACGCGCGCTGCTGACCCCGCCATGGCCGCTGGGGTGCACGTGCCGTGGTGCCTCAGGTCTTCCCCCGTCGAGCCAAGGGCACCCACCCCGACGGCCAGAATTGACCTGCCCGTCCTTCCCCACCCCTATGTTGCATATGTATGTTTCAAACGTTTTAGGCGTTTTAGATGTATGTTGGAATTGTTTCATCTTGATGTTGCAAAAGTAGATCGGGGGATGTTGCACATGTTGCATATATAGCAAGTGTTTCAGAGACATGTTGGAAGCGTTTGTTCTAAATGTTTTATCTGTTTCTGGACGTATGTTGCAATCGTTTTTATCTAGATGTTGTATATATTGCAACTGTTTGTTCCAAATATTTCATATGTTTTAGTCTGATGTTGCAGCAAGTGGTTTAATGTTGCAAGTTGCAAGTGTTTTATTTTAGATGTTTCATACACATGTTGCATTAGCATGTTCCAAATGTTTCATCAGTTTTTAGTCTTATGTTGTATTCATATTGCAAGTGTTTTATGTTCGGCTAGGGGCAAACCGGAGGCCAACGGACGGGGCACGCAACGCGCCGAGGGGCCGGCGGACGGGGGGTCCTGCAGATCGAGACGCACCGGGGGCGTGCTTGTCTTCAGCCACTCATCCCGGCTCTCGTGTGTAAGGGTCAGGGGAAGGACCGATGGATGTAGAGACAAGGGCGGAGCGCACTCGTGGGGCAGAACGAAAACATACGGGAGCAGGCTGCGCGGGCGTCCAGGCGCACACATCCGTTAGGGACGTCCCGGTGCTGGCCACGCCCTTTTTATTAGCGGAGCAAGAAGCCCATAACGGTAAAGGTGGCGTTTGATCAGCTTTTGCGTCTCATCGGTTGCAGCAGTGCGGTTTCTGGCTTTCTGCAGATCTCGTTTTACTTTTTGAAACAATCTGCAGATCTCGTTTTACACTAGGCGGTTCGGACGATTCGGCGCACTATCAGCTCTGGGATTCGCAATACGTTGACAAAGGGATAAAAAGGGGCCGGTATTGTAGCATAAAAAGTGAGCACATTTCTTTGTTCCCCATTTCGATTTTTATCAGCGCTGCCTGTACTTAGTGACAGTTAGCCTGGACGCGTGATGGCATTCAGGCGAACTCTGTTTATAAGAGCATCTCCAACAGTGTCACATATTTCTTCTCCATCCATGTTTTTTTTGAGAAAAAAAAGAGAAAAACTCATCCCTAAGAATACCACATATCCCTTCTCCATCTTTTGGCACTTGGCAAACTGGCCTTCATCGTGCGTAAAAATGCGCCATCCATAGTTGCACGCATCCTCGCGATTCCCCGCGCTGTCTCCTCCTCCCACGCGGTGTCACGATTTTTTTTTTGCCGCAGTTCATCTTTGCGCCATGGCACGTCGTCTCCTACCGGCCGGCGCCGCCGGGATTGCCGTGCCCGCTCGCGGTGCTGCGCCCGCCGGGATTGCCGTCGCTCGCAGTGCTGTGCTCGCTCGCGATGCCAGGATTGCCGTCGGTCGCGATGAACTCCGACGATAGTTCCTCCCGTGTATACAGGGCCGTGCCGGCGGGCGTGCAAGCCGTGCATTCGTACAGGGCCCCAAATTCCAAGAGGCCCCAAAAATTATGGCGCATTAAGCCATGCTGACTTTCATATTACTCCTGATGCTGCGTCTCTTCCTATATCACGCTACCTGAATCGATCTACGTCGATCTGTCTCCCTGGCTCTCCCGTAGTCCCATCCTGGCTTCCCCGTGTCTCCCGTCTTCATGATCAAGCAAGCCGGCGCATGGCATCCATCTACAGCAATCCGTCTCCCCGGCTCTCCCATCCTGGCTTCACTGTCTCTCCATCTCCGTGATCAATCAAGCTGCAAGCCGGATGGAGGTCTAGAGGCCAGCGCCCAGGTGTAGGTCACAAGGGGTAAATTCCTTATTCCTAAAGACCCGAACTCGTGGAAGGTAATTAATTATCTAATTGACTAATTATCTTATATTTATCGATACAAATATTTCTTTATATTAATGAATAATTACTCGTTGCTATAAGTAGATGCAGAACTGTTGTATTGCGCAAAACGGTCGATGGTGCATACACTCACATCCGATAAAAAACACAAATTACTACTCTTTTTTTTGCGAGGATCACAAATTACTACTCAACAAGTGAAAACAAGTCTTTTTATTTCAATTCTGTTAAATAATTTAAAGAACACTAAGAGAATGATATTGTGTTCAAATAAAAATTATGCAATCACAAAATAAATAGGTATGATTTTTTATTTATCGCATTGCTATGTATGCATATATTATTTTATTTTTTAAGGCCAGTAGGGCTTCTTTTAGAGTTTGGAACAAGGCCCCGAATTTTGACGGCACAGCCCTGCGTGTATATGTGTATTGAAGTAATGCTCTTGGCCGGCTGCTCTACTGCTTGCATGGTACTGTTTGCTGGCGCACGGTGAAGCAGCTACTGGCTGCGTGGTCAACCTGCTTGCCTGATAGCCGGCTGCATGCTACTGTGCTGATGGCTGGGAAGCTGGCCGTCGCCGCCTGAGACCTGCAAGGGATCGGCACGAGCATGAAGGAGGCCAGCGGCGCCGAAGGATTTCACGTGTGGGTCCACAAATCTAATATTTTGGAAATTAATTAGGGATACTATTGGAGATGGTCTCTTTTTTTCTCTCCATAATTATTTAGAGTTGACAAACACCATGTTTTGGGGAACAAAATATGCCAAACTCTTTGAGATGCTCACCATTGCTGATTTCAATCATTACGATGAAGAACGACCGTGCGTACGTGAATAGTCATCTCTCTGTTCAAAGGCGCATGAATCGACCAATGTACGTGGATACAATTTCTTAGGTAGAATTTGGGTTCAATTCAAAGCTAAACCAAAATCAAGTGTTACAACGAACCTTGTTGCGCCAGTGATCCTGTAATTCTCTACGATTCTGTTAAAAGAGTTCTGTAAGCAGGCATTGAGCTCAGTGTTTCTGATTTCAATGACACATGGTGGCACAGACAGACACGTATACCCCTTAGGTCCTGTATATAGTGGTTGATCACCATTGCTCCATTATGCATGCCTACGCTGTAGTGGCCTCTCAACTGCTGTGTGTGAGCAATGCACCCATCACGCGTCGACGACTGATTGACGTAGGTGGTGGAGGCGTGAGCTGGTCTCCGGCTCGCCGCCCGTAATGCTTTCAGTTGCCTTCTGCACCATGTCGTAGTGCTTCAATTAGCGCATCTTGTGGCGTGTGCTGTCATGTCCAATAATCCTACACACACACACACACACACACACACACACACACACATCCCTGTAATGTTGGTGTTGCCGCAGCTGACACCCTCATGATATCAGCCAGTGTCAGCCAGACCCAAAACAATCGTCCCTGACGTAAGTGTTGGATTGGTTCAGAGAGCGAGAAGCCGATTTCTGAATGCACACAAATAGATCGAGCCTCACAAATGGAGTATCTTAAGAGAACACATTTGCATGAGCTTCAACCATATGTTTTGTTCAGTTAATTAAAAAAACAAGTTCCCGTACCTGTTCTTGCCAGTGGCTAATTCCTATGACATATGCAAGGAACAATTGTTAGGTTTGAGTTTTATCAGTGCTAGTTGCCGCCGATTAATTGAATCAGCTGCATACACTGGTAGCATTCGCCGCTCAGCACGACGCGGATGGGGACCGCCGGACCGCAGCGCGGCCTAGTCCTGGACCAATCGCGGTTGGCGATTGGTGAACCTGCCCGTTTTATTGGCCCAGCAGCGCAGCGAACCCATATGTTATGGCAAATCCTCATCCGTATCTGCCTCAAGCAGGAGCGGCAGCCGGCAGCTACAGATCGTCCCGTCCCTGACCATTTCTCCCACAGGCCACGGCGTACGTCTACCAGGAGCATGCTGTTCCGAGTGTCCGGCCGCGCCCGGGTCTGCCGGCAGAGGAGGAGGCGGATGGCCGTGGCGCGCCTCGGCGACGCGGGTGACGCCGCCGCCCCGCGGTGCGGCGGCAGGCTGCTGTTCGCCCTCGGGAGGATCGTCCTCCCGCGGCTCCGGCTGCGGGCGCTGCTGCTGCGGTCCAGGCGTGCGCTCGCGCGGCTCAGGAACTGCTACGCGGACGTGATGAAGGGGCTCGTCGCTGACGCCGCGGCGGCGGAGCCCGCCGCGAAGGCAAGGAGGGCGGTCGAGGCCAGGGCCGGGACCGGGGAGACGTTGGTGCACGCGGGGAGGCCGGCACCGGCAGTGGTCGTGCCGGCCGCGGTGGCCGGCGCCGTGCTGCGGTGCAACTCGCACTACTACGTCCGTTGACGCGACATGCACGTGCGACGCGGGTTGGCGTTGGGGGCAGGTGTGATTGGTCCGCTGTGTGTGACGGACTGCCCTGTGCCGCACTTGCTGCACATATCTCGCCTGTCGCAATTGCCATTTTCTCCCTTCTTTGTGCTTTATGTGGTTAAGAATGTTCACATAAAAGCGAACATCGGTGAACGTACCGTGGAAACTGGAAATGGATATGCAGCGGATGCGTTCTTGGTCTACCAAATCTTTGGTTGCTATCTTTCTCCAGTTCATAATCTACTGTTATCGAGCTCTGTCGATTCTGTTGTGCTCGCTTCTTCGGTCCTCCTCAACCGTAGAGCTAGCACGCTGGCTACTTAGACAGTCTCCAATGACAAACTCATACGGGCATCTATACTCAAAATAGGTAGAAAGAGACATAAAATTAGCCTTCAACAGAGTATCTATATGAGAGACTTATTTTGAGTTGTTTGAGAGACACAACTTAAATATGGACATTCTCTCTCCTGGAAATCCATTTGCAGAAAGGATTCTCTTTTGGATCTGGTTGTCAGAGAAGATGCCGAATAGATATTAAACATTTTGCCTGTAGCATTACCCAAATGAGAAATGGGACTTATATTTTGGGTGTTATTGTTAGAGATAGCCTTATTAGGGGTCTGTTTTGGTTGGCTCCTGACCAAAGCTGCCTAGCACATGCCGGTGGAAAAAAAGAAGATAAGCCCCTCTGCAGCTCATTAGGGACGCGTGCGAGACTACAGACTGGTCAAACACTCGCATATTCTCACGCTCCTCCTCTCTACATTATGAAGTCAGCTAGCGGCTTAGGACATGTTGGTAGAACTCCACTTCTTAATTCTTAGTTCCAACTCTTTTAGGTACTCTAATGAAGTGATTCTAGTCGATTTTGGTGGGAATAGAACGGAAGCAATTGAGAATTAATTCTAGAGTCTAGCAGGGATTAAGGCTCCGTTTGGCCGGGCTCCGGGCGGCTCCGGCTCCCGCGTCGAATCATTGTTCATCAAAGCCGTTTTTCTCTCTCCTCAGTTTCCTCTCTCACTGACACCACTGGAGCCGGAGAAGCTCGTTTTTCTGGCTCCCGTGGCTCCGGCTACAATGTCGCTACAGTGTATGAGCCAGAGCACGCGGGAGCCCGCCCAAACGGGGCTTAAATAGGGAGCAATAAGGAGCAAGTTTTTTTAAGCTCTCTGGCGTAAATGTAAAAGTGATTCTTGTCTGCTCCCCGTTTGATTGTTTAGTTGAGGAGAAATAATTCTCAAGAAGAATACTCCCTCTGTCCCGTTAAGTTTGTCGCTGAAGCACCCGGCTGTTGTCCCACCGAGATTGTCGTTCTAGCTAACGAGGGGCCCACACCTAGGAAAGCAAAGCAACAGAGACCCAGCCTTATCCTCCCGGTCTCCATTCACCAATTTTTTTTTTTGATTTCAAGTTTGGCGCCTGATTCAATATTTGGATTTCAAGTTTCAAGCATTGCCTTGTGTGTGTAAACAAAGAGCGCCAGAGTTTTGGCGCTAAAATTTTTATGCTGAAAAGCTACTTTTCACTGCTTGCCGATTTGTGCCCATTTGTTTAATCGGTGAATACTACTGTACTAGTGTCGTGGCTGGTTTTGATATGGTGAATGTATATGTAGCATTGACATAATGTAAGCATTTAATGAAGGCATGTTGCAGCACAAAACTTGGAATCTGTCGAACACGTACGATTTGCTAGCCTTTCTTCTCTCGTCTTGGTATGCACGTCCATTCCTTCAGCGACAAACTTAACGGGACGGAGGGAGCATGCTTTAAGAAATGATACGAAATGACCCCTCAGACTCGGTGAAGGCGTCTTTACATCAGAGCTTTTAACACTAAATACCAACGTCTTAGATGCCCCTATAGTACACATCTTAATTAGCTACTTAATAATGCTAATAGTGATTTATTTTTTTATCCTCTTCGTATTAATTTTGTTCATGTTATTGTTGTGTTTTTTATGACCCATCCAAAATACTGGTTGGTTCCAATAATACACCCTCAATTAACTAGTTAATAGTTAATGAACATAATTAATGATTTGCTTGCTCTTCCTAAACATGATCTCTAATGGCCATTGTATAATTTCGAATTAGTATCTTCTTTTGTTTTTGTTACTATATTGTGATTTTTTGGCTTATCAGTTGATTGGCTTGATCAGATGTAGATACTTAGAGCTCACTAAATTTTGATCGACTTTTCTCTATATATAATCGGTAATATCCTTTTAGTATTTTAGTTTTTCTATTGTAAAACAAGTATGATTACTTCTTCCGTTCTAAATTATAAGTCGCTTTAACTTTTTTAGTTCATCTATTTTGCTATGTATTATATCCAGATACATAGCAAAATTGATGTACCAAAAAATCAAAGCTACTTATAATTTGGAACAGAGGGAGTATGTTGTATACAAATATAGGGAGTGTTCGCTACAGCTGCTCCCATTGTTGCCACAGTAAAACACAGAAAAGAAACAGTAGCGAGCCAGCGACATCTACAGCCACAACGGCTGCTGGTTGTGCCGAACACCGCCATACATAGGACATGTTTGATCCCATGGAATAACAACTAGTTGGCTAATGTTTAGTCTATGAGGATTCAAACAGGTGGACTAGTGGGTGGGCTAACAACTAGTCCAACCCCAACTAGTTGTTAGCTCACTAGTCCACAAAACACAACTAGTTGTGGCTAAAGTCCACTAGTTTGGAATAAAGACACCCGTTACCCCCACTTGACCCTATCCAGCCTTTCGTCTCCCCGCAACCGCCCGCGCCGCTCCGACCACTGCGCGCGCGCCCACCGGTCCCGCATCCGCCCTCGCCGCTCCGGCCATCGCACGCGCGGCCACCGCTCCCGCATCCGTCGGCTACCGCACGCGAAGACTTGATCCTCCACCACCGCCACCTTGGGCTGCTGAAAAGCGCCGCCGGTGGGGCTGAGGTGGGGAGCGGGCGGGTTGAGCATCTTCAGCTGCTTCCTGTCGGTGGGAAAGGGTATGCTGCTTCCACCACCGATTCCTCCAGACAGCAGCCCATGCCGCCGGACTTCCTCCCCACGCTACCAGACAACAATGACCGTGACGATGATCTTCCCTAGCCATGGATCCAGGGGTCGGCTTCAACTTCTTCTCTGAGTCCAGCAAGCACAGTGCGCAAGCAGGGTATAAACGACTTTTAGTTGAGATACTAGCACTTATTAGCCTAGGGACCCATAAAGGCATGAACTAATCACTAGTCTTAGTTCATCCAAACAGAACCGTATTCCGTAGCTAATAGCTCTGTATTTCCAAATCCTGGCTCCGCATCTGGGGATATAGTGGAAGGCAGAAGCAGCACTAACCATTTCACACGTCCGTTGGACCATCAGCGACGACTGTCCACCGGTGTCGTTGGGTTAGACAGGTTTCACCACATAAACCCGCTTGAAGAATGCGGGCTACTCTGCGGGATTGTGTGGGCCGGTGACGTGGGTCTGCCTAGCGGGCTGGCGGCACGGCCCGCGCCACTTGCAAGCCTATTGTTAACGTTAGATGGCCATGCAGCTCGCGGCCCGTTGGCATGGCCTGAAGCCCAATATTTTGGCCCGGCACAAAGTACGACATGGCTCGATGATTAGCGGGTCTATGCTGGCCCGACCCGATGCATAGGGCCATGCCTAGGCCGCTCCCTAGGCATGGTGGATAGACCCGCGACCCCTTCCCTCGCGTAGGCGCGGATGCGGGCTTCCCTCCCCTTGCGCTCGCCGATGCATCCCCTTCCCAACTTCGCATCATGCTATCCCCCAACTTCCCATCCCTAATTTCCCTCTCTCTCGGTCTGTGGGGGATATGACCCCCGGTATCCATAAGACAAGACATGGGCCGCACCATCAGAGGTGGCCCAGCCCACAAGATCAAGGCGTGCACGACATTGGTCGACGTGCACCGCAAGATATTGTATAGTACCAAATAGGATATTTTTCTTGTAACTCTACCCCTCCAGAGTATATAAGGAGAGGCAGGGGTCCCCTAGTCGACATCTCCATCAGATCTCATATCCAATACAATACAACAACGACACAGGACGTAGGGTATTACGTCGATCAGACGGCCCGAACCTGTCTAAATCGATGTCTCTACGCCTTGTGTCACCATTCGATTCCTGATTACGCGCACCTCCACCGATCAATCTACCTTCATGGGATACCCCTCGGAGGACTGCCGAGCATCTTTTGTCGACAGTTGGCGCCCACCGTGGGGCTCATGCGCGCTGATCCCTAACGAACCAGATGGCGTAACTCAAGATCAACATCCTTCGCGGCAACTCTGCTGATCGCGTCGACATCCTTCGACAACCACGGCACACGTCTTCGTACGCGGATTGACACCGCCAAGCTCCGACTACGTCCGTCCTACTACAACACGAGATCAACTTCGTTCCAGCCGTCAAGCGATCCGCTAAGCGAGCTGCCTGCGTCGCCGACCAGATAACACCATACGCCACCGACCAGACGTTCTATCTAAACCTAAGTCACGCTTTAATATTCTTATAAATATTCTCCGATCTTCATATATCGCCATAATATTTCTCCGAGCTGTTTTCTCCATGTTTGCTCTTCAAACAATTTTCTTTCATGTATACCATTTTAAAGATGACATACAACTAAATCTAAGACAAATCCCCGAACAGTCATGTTGATGCTCGGATGTCCCCAGAGATAGTCCTGTCTCTGGCTCCTCCCTACACGTGCACGAGCGTCTGCCCTCTGCGTTATGGGTGGTCGACAGCGGCTCCTTAGCGACGCTTTGTTCTTCCTACACGCACATGGGCTCCGCGCTCCGCGTTATGGTTAACGGGCTAGCTAGGGCTGGAGACTCAGCTACACACTAACTGGTCGGGCGGTTTGTATTAAATATAAATACATCTTCAGAATAACACTAAGTGTTCACACCAACTGATCGACGAGGTGCATACGCTATTTTATCACCATTGCTGATTCTTCTATGAAGTTCATATATTTTTACATCATGTACTACCCGTTCTACATATTTATATTGCAGGATCATCGTCCAGGTGATCGGACCACCTGGTGCTCGGATTTCTCCACCGATCAACTGGTCGATCCGCTAGGTTCATGGACTTCGTCGCCGACCAGTTGATTGGACTGTTCGTCGGTCGCTTCTACTCTTCGCCGCCGACCAATTGATCGGACTGTTCATCGATCGTGCTTCATCATTAGCTACGCCGGGGACTCCTCGGTGATCGGACATCGCCAGCTACGTCGGGGACTCCTCGGTGGTCGGATCTTGCTACGTCTCATCGGTTTGCTATCAAGCTGCTCCATGTTGTTCGGATTAGGGTGCTGATCTTGGGCCGCACGTCTTGGGTCTTGATACGCACATGTCAGATGACGTCGGCAAGCTTTCAGACTTCTTTTCTTTGACCCTGCTACAAGATTCATTCTTCATCTTCCAGCAGGCTCGGGGACTAAGTGGGTACACTTCACCTGGCGGTGAATGTAGTGCTTATTTCTTGATTTATCCTCCTTATTGACGGAGTCTAAATGGCTACACTTCTCCTAAGTGGAATTTTTTTTAGAATTTTCAGATTTTGAACTTGAGCTCCTTACATCCTTATGGCAAGCCTTACTTGGGATACACTGCTCGGTGACGGTTCACAACTGCTCGGCGACGGTTCACAACTGCTCGACGACGGTTCATGGTGGTCGGACCATGAGTCTGACTGCTCGGCTTTGTTCGCACCTGCTCGGACAAGCTCAAGACAGCGTTGCACAACGAATACAAGGCGCTCGGGAACTAGCTGTGGGGGACATGACCCCCAGTATCCATAAGACGACATGGGCCGCACCATCAGAGGTGGCCCAGCCCATAAGATTAAGGCGTGCACGGCACTGGTCGACGTGCATCGTAAGATATTGTATAGTACCAAATAGGATACTTTCTTTATAACCCTACTCTTCCAGAGTATATAAGGAGAGCAGGGGATCCCCTAGTCGACATCTCCATCATATCTCATATCCAATACAATACAACAACGACACAGGACGTAGGGTATTACGTCGATCAGACGGCCCGAACATGTCTAAATTGTTGTCTCTACGCCTTGTGTCACCATCCGGTTCCTGATTACGCGCACCTCCACTGATCAATCTACCTTCATGGGATACCCCTCGGAGGACTATCGAGCATCTTTTGTCGACACGATCTCTGTCCCTCCAACTCCGACTCAGCCATCTCCACCAGATCCGGTGACCCCAAGCCTTGGCGAGTGCGTCGCGTGGGAGCGACTACAACGACTCTCCTCCTACCTCAGTGAGCGCGTGGGAGCAGAGCGTGACGGCGGCCTCCTCCGCAGCTAAAGGAGAGCGCATCGTCTCCTTCCCTCTCTCAGTGGGCCTCGGGCTAGCCCGGCCTGGTGGCCGTGGCATGCTTTTCGGACTAGATCGCCCCGAAAATCAGCCTGAGGGGCCGTGCCTAGGCCGAAGCAAAAGCCCATTCGACATCTCAAGGGTCAAGGCCACAGGCCTCACAAGAAAGTTGTTTCTCTTTGGAACTTCCTTGTTTCTCTTTGGAATTTCCTCATCTATAAGAAACAAGGAAGCGATGGAAGAATATCTATAAGAGGAGCATTACACACATGCACAAAAAATATCGAAATCAGGTGTTGGCGCGCTCATAAACGCTCATAAAAGATTCTCAAAGCACTCCATATCCCCGCGGCAATCCTTCCTTCATTGTCTCTGTCTCGCCATATCTCACTCATCCACTTCATATCCCCACGCCTATCCTTCCTTCATATCACTCTTTTCTTCCAAGTAAAAGGAGATAACTAAAATGCGTCCATTACGGTGGACATCAATGGGGAGATAACTAAAACATGTCGATTATAGTGGTAGTAGCTCAAATACGAGGCTTTCATGACAGCTAAGTAGGAGAGGGATAAGTTTTGGCGGCTGAGATTATGACAAATCATAAAGTGTATTGTCTTTTGATATCTTACATGCAATTATTTCATTGATTTCCAATGCACATGCCTGAAAACCTCGTGAGCATCCCAATGGACATTTCATCATTTTTCTTCGTGAGAAAATGGTCACAAGCGGAAACAAACTTGGTCACAATATGGCTGATGACAGTGTGATAGAGTGACATGAGTTGTAGCCCTCTAGCGTTAGTGATTGTTGTACAGTCTATCTAGGCTTAAAATGTTGATGGGTATGTCGATGGGTATTATGGTAACGATAGGACCAACCAACGCAATTTGAGGCAGCAATGGCTCCAACTTACATGAACACCATCATAGAGATGAATCCGGCAATGTTTGAGGAAAAAAAAGCCTGTATAGATCTACAAGATTATACAAGAGAAGGTACAAATAATCCAACATTTAATTTTATAAGAAGACCAAAAAAATCTGAATAATTTGTGGGACTTGAAAAATGATTTTACCGAGGAATGGAGCTTTACAAGAGAAAACTAGGCGAGCTTGGTTTGACCTTGACATAAATTGTATAGCTATGAGATATGAGTGGAAAAAACAAAGAAGAGAGGCAAGGAATTGATTGATGATAGCTGCATAGAATTTGTGCTGTTGGATACAGTGAGAGTACGTGAAGAGAGAACAATCGCAACAAAACGAATAAAACAAAACCGTAATCTACAACTAAAAATCCAAATATTATAATAAAAAAGCTGACTACCCACGCTATTTGAGCAGACCCCTTATATACTAATTATATATCAGAAAAACAAATCTATGTCAAATGGCATGCCCTCTGTTTTAGCTCATTTTGCAAGCCAAGCTTTAAATCGGCCTAATCTAATGGAGAGCTAATGTGATGGGATATGTTATCCGGCAAAAAGAGTTCATATACCACACGGCATAGGGGCACACTATATATAGCTGCTGAAAAAGGAGGCACCCGGTCATATCCGAACTTATTCTTAAGGTGGTGTTTGATGTCCTAAATTTTAGTCGTTGTCCCATCGAATATTTGATATATACCTGAAGTATTAAATATAGATTAATTACAAAACTAATTGTATAATTTACAACTAATTTGTGAGACGAATCTTTTGGCTTAATTAGTCCATGATTTGACAATATGACGCTACAGTAAACATATGCTAATGACGGATTAATTAGGCTTAAAATTTCGTTTTATGAAGTACTGACGGATTATGTAATTTGTTTTTTTATTTATATCCGAACACTTTATAACATTCTTAAAAACTCCTAAATTTTAACACTGGATATAAAGTCAGGGACGAGGGCGTCGTATGCCGATGCGGCAACGATGGCCTGCCTTTGTCATTGTCATCAATGAACTCGTACATTTCACAATTCAGGCAAGCTAAACTACATTAGCTCAACATATCGATGACAAGGCATGAACGAACGAGCGTGATGATATCGGCCGTTCGCTGATACGAAACTGCCTGATTGTGTGTGAGAGAGAAACAATGTTCAGCTGATTTGGTGAATAATAAATTATGAGGAGAGTAGCCGGCTGGTCTGAAACTTCCAGACCAGCGAACGGCCCCACTAAACAAATCTGGTTCATGTTAATCTCTTAAGAACTGGATGTTACACTTTTACAACAAAATGTAACAATAGTTTACCTGTTCGCTTATCTTATAATCTATTTTTTTAACTTATTTTTCAGAATTATGTTTTTCTCCAACAACAAATAAATCAGTCAGAACAGTATTTCGGTTTATTTTTTATTCAAGCGAACTGAGCCATTACCCTTTTTCTGTACTTGTACTCTCAGTCGTAGGGACAGGTAGCTACGGAGTACAATTCATAAAGAGGCAATAGAGGACAAGCCTTCTCTTCTCTTTCCAGTGATAGATCTAAGCTAGGTGATAGATCTAAGCTAGGTAGCTTCAAATTCTTCCAACAGGTATGGCTATGCTTCATGCAGTTGGTCTTTCCGTCTCTTGGATTAGTAGCATCACAAACAAAATAAATATGTTCATTCTAGAGGTTGTCAAATTTGATCTCAAATTAAGTCAAACATTTAACTACTAAAGATCAAATCCTCCGATCCATTAATAATCTATAGAAAGGAACAAGACAAGTATTACTGATTCTTTACCCTATAACTACAATACCCCCCGCCCACCCCCCCAAACAACACTTAGAACACTGCAGATCCTCCAAACGCACAACTGGATCTGTAGTTCTGTACATGATTTTTATTATGATACCTGTGTTATACAACAACATCAACAAGGAAGGCAAACCTGGGGACAAGGCAATCCGGCGACCCCATACCCTCTTAGGAGCAGGCGCAGGGGTCGTCGACGACGACGAGATCCTCGCCGTCGCCGCTGCGGAACGCGAGGTACCCGAGCGCGAGGCCCACGACGACGGCGATGAACACACCGCCGTTGAACGACATGACGGAGAGCATGAGGAGGTAGCCGAGGGCGGAGTTGACCCCGAACATCGCGGCCACGGCCACACGCGCCGGCCAGCGCCCGGCGACGGCGGGCGCGAGGAGCGGCGTCCGCGGGTTGAAGCTGGCGGGTGGCGGGATGGAGGAGGCTTGCTTGGCGGCTCCTTGCGCGATGAGCTTCGTGCGGACCCGTAGGGCCTCGAGGTACTGGTAAAAGGCGGCGGCGAGGAGCAGCGCCACGAGGGAGAGAAGGTAGTCGAGCCACGTGGAGGTGCGCCAGCCGTCGAATAGGATCGTGGCCGACTTGCCCCAGTAGAAGGTCATGTGCATCATGTTGGCCGGCGGCGAGGGCGGAGAAGGAAACGATTGGGACTTGGACTTGGGAGCGGCGATGCGGAGGAAGGAGGAGGATTGCCGGATGCCGGCGAGGAAACAGACCGGTGAGATTTTAATAGAGTGGGGTACGGTGGGTGGGCCGCGGCATGAGACACGCCATTTGGGTGAATTTACATCCGAGCCACTGGAATCGGGTCGGTTTCCCGGCAAGGAGGCGGCGGTAGACGAGGGGCAGCCCTGTAGTTACCGTCTGTTCGTCTGTTATTAAAGTTTCGGCTGATAACATGATTGAAGTTGTTTTGTTGGGAGAAAAAAATACTATAGATTTTAATTGATAAGTCGACTGATAAATTCAAATGAACAGACCGTCTATCTTCAGTTATAATAAACTATCTAAAATGTGATTATAAATTATTAGAGGTGTGTTATAAAAATATACTGCATGACATTTCTATTTATATTTATTAATATTAACGTGTAGTTTAGGGGAAAAAATCCTTATAGCGAGAGAGAATCAACTACAATTAGTGTAGTTCAGGTTAACCCTTGTTTAGTTGAGGGGAAAGTTGGAATTTGGCTACTGTAGTATTTTTGTTTTTATTTAACAATTAGTGTTTAATTATGGACTAATTAGGCTCAAAACGTTCGTCTCGTAATTTTCATCAAACTATGTAATTAGTTTTTTTTATCTATATTTAATGCTCCATATATATATCGCAAGATTCGATGTGATGAATACTATAGTATTTTTTGAAACTTTTTTTAACTAAACACGGGCTTATGTTAACTTTTGGAGTACAATGGTTCTGTACAAATCTTAGGCTACTCTTCCAAAGCACGGAGCATGAAGATAAGAACGAAAGTACTAGCTTGGATGGAGGAAATAAAACGAGTAAAAAACTACTCGCTAGCGAGTCACCTGTCGCTAGCTCCAAGACGGGTGTGCGAGTGGTCAGAAGTCCCCGCTCTTCTATACAGCCAAGCCGGTGTTTAGTTTCCGGACTCCCAACTTTGACACCGAGTAAAAAGAATGATTCGTTGTCGTATTAAAATTTAGTATATATAGTAGTATTAAATGTAGATAAAAATCAAAAACTAATTGTACAGTTTAGTTGAACTTTGCGAGATGAATCTTTTAAGCATAATTAATTAATATTTGGACAATAATTCATAAATACAAACAAAATTACTATAGAGTTTGATGTCACATCAAACATTATACAAATGCCAATTCCGACCAAACTAAACAAGGCCCAATACAGAAAGAAGCAATGGAAATAATGAGTATAGCTTTAGCCTATGAATACAATTAGCTGGCGACGTCGATATCAACCATTGTGGATGCCCTTTAGACATTTCCAACGGTATTCAAGTCGCTAGCTCGGAATAATACTTAGGCCCCGTTTAGTTGCCGGCCCAATTGGCACCGTCTGAATTAACGCATTGTAGCATTTTATTTGTATTTGGTAATAATTGTCCAATCGTTGACTAATTAAGCTTAAAACATTCGTTTGCAAAGTACAACCTAAACTGTGCAATTATTTTTGATTTCGTCAATATTTAGTACTCCATACATATACCACAAATTTAATATGATAGAAAATCTTTTTTTTACACGTGCTAAAAAGTTCGGATTCTGGAGTAAGTAAACGAGGGCTTACCCAGTCAGAAAGAGAAAGAACGACAAAAATTACCACGCTAACGCGCCTGCAAGAGCCTGAAATCTTGCGAGTGGGCGTGGCACGGTGGCAGACGACAAGACCTAGGGGCTCGCACGTAAATTAGGCCTGCAGGCGTACTAGGCCTTGTTTAAATTGTCTTTAAATTTTAAGTTTTTTCATTCTTTTTATCACATTAATTTTTAAATGTATGTATGGAGCATTAAATATAGATAAAAAAATAACTAATTACACAGTTTGGTTGTAAATCACGAGATGGATCTTTTGAGTTTAGTTAGTCTATAATCGGATAAAATTTGTCAAATATAAACGAAATATGTTACAGTGTCCAAGTTATAAAAATTTATAATCTAAACGAGGCCCTAGTGCCCTATCGAACGGGTACTACTGCTCGGTGCTCGCGTGCAGCCGCAGCCCCGCAGTACAGGCGCACGACCTGTACTGCACTGCACTTGTACTACAGCGCCGCCGTCCGGCAAAAGCGCTCGACCGGCCCTGGCTGAAAGGAAGCTGGACTAGGACTCGGATGCGTGCACAGACGTTCGTTCGCGGCTCTCGGCTTCCAGTTGGCGGTTGCGTGCCGCTAGCTCCAAATCCGTCGGCGAAGGTGGAGGTGGCGTGGCCGCGAAAGGCAAGCACTCCATTCGTCGATGGGTCCTATTCTCGTCGAGGACTACCGGTCTGTTCGCCGGTGGTTTTGCTGATAACTCCAGTTTGCGTTATGAGAGAAAATATTATTGACTGACTGATAAATTTTGTCCGTCAAAATGAACATGCTGTACAGGACTCCTCAAGGAGCTATCTAGGTGGCCGTCAGGCTACGCATCGAATCCGATCCATATAAGGTCTTTTTAATATAGATATAAAGTTTTTGGGTGTCACATTGGGTATTATATGAAGATGTTGTATGAGGTGTTTAGATAGTAATAAAAAAATAAATTACAGAATCCGTCAGTAATCCACGAGATGAATTTATTAAACCTAATTAATCTATTATTAACACATGTATTACTGTATCATCATTGTCAAATCATAAAATAATTAAATTTAAAAATTTGTCATATAAATTAATCGTAAACTGTAGAATTAGTTTTTTTTTTATATTTAATACTTCGTGTGCGCCTCAGCTGAGACGGACTCACGCACAGTGGGGCAGCAGATGCCCTCGCAAAGCTGGGGCGCACAGTGGGCCTGGCCGCATGCCGCTAGTCTGCTGCTACTCAAACGAGGGCCAATCAATTGGGGTCTTGTTTAGTTCGCGATTAAGAATTGGTATTTAATATTGTAGTATTTTTATTTGTATTTGATAATTATTATTCAATCATGGTCTAACTAAGCTCAAAAGATTCGTTTTATAATTTACAATCAAACTGTATAAATAGTTATTTTTTATCTATATTTAATACTCCATACATATATTCAAAAATTTAATGTGATGATAGAAAGAATAATGAAAAAATTAGAATCTAAATAAGGCCTGATAGGTGATTAATGATCTGTCCATCACTTTGACCTACTCACATGCTGCCGTTGGCCCGTTGCTGCTGCTCCTCCGCTTTGCTGCCGGCTGTGGAAGAAGCTGAGGCTGTGTTTAGATGCCGATTTTTTTTTTAAATGCTATTGTAGTATTTTCGTTGTTATTTAGTAATTAGTGTCTAATCATAGTCTAATTAGGCTTAAAAGATTCGTCTCGTGGATTTTGTCTAAACTGTGTAATTAGTTTTATTTTTTATTTATATTTAATGCTTCATGCATGCGTCCAAAGATTCGATGTGATGGAGAATTTTGAAAAATTTTGCAAAATTTTCTGGAACTAAACACTACCTGAGGCTGATAAGCCGTGCACACTGTCAGCGTTCTTGTTACATCTGTGGTCTCCTTTTTTTTGGCACCACGTCATCTATACAACGCTTATGTCTCAGGAGTATAAAAACTGCGTGTTCTAAATACAAAATCCTGGTTCAAAAGTTTTGAGATTTGGTTCCAAAGGACAACAAATGCGCGCAATACTCACATGCTCCTCCGCTTTGCTACCGGCTGCACATGCTTCTTTCATGCGTGCCGCGTCAGCCGTCCGTGAATGCCAAAACACAAAACGTGCACAAGCAAAGCTGGCGTCCAATGATATAATTAATGACTAAAATTATATATCATCGTCACCACAAACACGCCCACGCCCGCTTTCGTCCCGTCCCGTCCCATCGCACCACCATTCCTCCGCGCCCGGCCTCCTTCGTCTCCTTCCCGGAGCAGTTCACAGTCCCCACTCCACCTCCTTCTACAAATAGTACACCTCAGTACCTCACCACGCCTCCGCTCCCCTGCCTTCGTCCCTTCCCAGTTATCCCCCCCACCTCCTTCTACGGAACCTCAGTCAACGCCGGCGCCTTGGGGCCTATCCCCGCATCGAAGGAAGTCAACCAGTTGCCTGGGGGCCTTCGCGAAGAAGGAGCACCAGTTCCTCGCCGAGCTCGGCCTCGCGCAGCGCAACCCGGGCGCGTTCGCATGCGGCGCGTGGGGCGGCTCAGGCCCCGTCGTCACCTCCACCAGCCCGACCAACAACCAGGTGCGTCGGTCCCCGCCCGGTCCGATCTGCTCGATTTCGCCGCTTCGCCTGTTTCGTGTTTGTTTTTTTTGGTGGATTTTGATTGAGTGGCATTTTTTGGGTGCGTGGCTGTTTCTGTACTAGGTCATCGCGGAGGTTGTGAAGGCGTCCGTGCAGGACTATGAGGAGGGCATGCGCGCCTGCTTCGATGCCGCCAAGACATGGATGGCGGTGAGTTCCACTGACTTGCAGTGCTCATAGAATCATAGTCATGGCAGTCCGCACGGATGGTGGAATGCTGGCATTTATGGTTTAGTAGTTGCTACTGCCTGTGGATTTTAACTGCGTGGAAATGGAATTTTTCACTCCCGTTGGGTTGGAATTTGGAGACGTTACTTTAAACATCTGCAATTGTTGGTCCTTTATGTGTCTGATGAGTTTCCGGTGAAGTTTGCGTTGATGAGGTGATATGGGTTCTCGATTTGACCCAGGAACACGGATCTCTAGTGTACAGTCTGCATATGTGAACTAGAATTTATACTGCAATTTCAGAATTCATTCATGCATGTTTGGGGTTATCAGGTTTTGGAATCTATATGTTCTTTTTATGTCTACAACGTACATGACACCGCAAGTTCATTGCTGCGACTGGGTAGCATTGCTAAAAAACTTATTTCGTCCATCAAGTGATTTGTTTCGAAAATTTTACTCCTATCAATGTGCTCATAAATCATAATGCCATTGCCAATGTGTCCAGATTCCTGCTCCAAAGCGCGGAGAGATTGTTAGGCAGATCGGTGATGCACTGAGAGCAAAGCTACATCACCTTGGCAGGCTTGTGTCACTTGAGATGGGGAAAATTCTTCCAGAAGGGATCGGTGAGGTTCAGGTAGGATCATAGTTGCTTGATTGCTTCTATTGCATTGTCTGCAAACTGCGCATTATTTATTGTGCTCACGAAAAGTACCACCATTGAGTTCACACTTCACAGCGCATCTTTGCAATTCTGTTTTATAGGATGTTAATTTATATATACTACATTATCATCTATGAGGTTTTGTTACTGTTTCCTTATCTGTTAGAACTGCAACTTCTCCTAAAACATGTCATTCTCGTATGTACAGCATTATTGAATAGGTCAGTCGGTACTGTATTACCAGAACATATGTCGATGTTGAATGACAATAATTTTAGTTGGATGATTTGATAACTTTGCTGAATCAGCCTGATTAATCATGGCTAAATCGTGATTTACTGTAGTGCATAAGCCCCCTAATCATGTTTAATCGGATGACTTGATAACCTTGCTGAATGATCATATGAGTTCAAGTGAAATCGGGTTTTGATTCCTATGTGCATGATGCATTGCTCTGTCCTCTTTTTTGTAGGAAATCATCGACATGTGTGATTATGCTGTGGGGCTAAGTCGCCAACTAAATGGATCCATTATACCATCTGAACGTAAGACCTTTCTTCCTTTAGTTAGACTGTCTCCAACGGTCTGGACGCAAAAACAAGAGGCATTCGATGTTTTGGGTCGCCCACAGCTAAAGGGTTACAGACCCAAAACTTCACTTCTCCAACGAGCGACGCAAACGAGAAGCTGAGCGCCGCCCGCCTCACCGCATCGGGCCGCTCCTCGCCGGCCGCGCGCGCGCCGCCGCGGACCCGCCTCGCACGAGCTGGAGCTGGCGACTCCTCCCGCTTCGTCCTCGCCGTTAAAAGCCCAAGCCGCCGGCGTTCTTCCTCTTTTCCCCTTCCTGCTCGCCACCGGCCGACTCAACCCGCCGGTGAAATTCACTGCCGCCGCTGCACCTCCGCCTGATAGCTTGTGCCTGCAGCTTCGTCTCGCCCCTGCGCCCGCCGTGCGTGTGCTCCCCTCCCTGGCCCACATGCTCGTGCTCTCCCCGCCCCTCGCGCTGCTCTTCTCCGGCGGTGGTGTTGCAGGCGTGGAGGAGCGCGACGCCGGCGTCGAGGTTGCGGCGACCATAGCAGCGGACGCGTCGCCCTCGCCAGCGCCGGCGAGCGTGGGCCTCCGGTGCGGATCTCGGGCTCCGGTCGTCCGCTTCCTGTGGTGGGCCCTGCGTGGAGACGCAGAAGGACTGAGCGAAGACGCGTTTTTGGGTTCTGCCTCAGCTCCGACGCAAAATGGGTCATGGGTTTGCCTCCTCCGTTGGAGCGCGTTTTGTCCCGCAAAAACACTGTATACAACGCATTTTTAGGTTTGGGTCACGTTATGCGTCTGCTATTGGAGTCAGTCTTATATCATGCCAGTTGAAAACTACATCATCTGCAGTGAAACTGCAGATTTTCACTGCAGATTTGAATATTTGATCATTCTGGTTGCAACTTGCAACTGATTCAGATTATCTATCACTGTTTAGGAGCCAGAAAGGGCCTTGTAAATGCTGGAAAATATATTTGAATAAAATTCTGATGGTCTAGCTTTGTAGGTTTGTGTATTGTATCGGATATGCTGAAATTGAGATCAGCCAAGATTTTGCACTTTCTTTTGCTATTAGAGCTGCTAATCTGCAACACCATCGTTCATGTTAAATTATTTCCTTATCACTACTTTAGTGCTGTACAATAACACATCATTCCAGTTTTCTGTTTTGTACGAAGTTCAGTTTTCCCAATTCCCTGAAATGTTGCGTTATTACAATTATCACAGTAAAGGAGCATAATAAGTAACAGATCCCTTAGAAAACAAGGTTTTAGAGTGTTAGCTTTCTGATCGGTTGCAGAAGGTAGAGTCCCAGTTGTCAGAGCCTTTTGCATTAGTCTTGGGTGGCTTCATATCATCTTTTCTTCCTAACTCCTGGTCCTGGATATATAGCATATGTGCTGCTTGATGATGATATTCAGTGGTCTGAAACAGTGCACTTTGTGTTTTTTTGCAGGACCAAACCATATGATGATGGAGGTATTTTTTAACAATTAGTTTCCCATGTCGTATATCCTACTCTTAGATATCAGCATGTAACATGCTAATGACTATGCTTATCTGAGTAGGTATGGAATCCCCTTGGAGTTGTGGGTGTTATAACGGCATTTAATTTTCCTTGCGCTGTGCTTGGTAAGCCTCTGACAGCTCATATATTTGGTGCATTGCATTTCTACAGTGGCCTGCATTTCTAGAATTTCTATTGCCACAAAAATCAACATAGTGCATCAGCTCTCTCTTTACTTTGCATTTTAAGACTCCTCGTTTAGGGAATGTTTAGCCAAAAAAAGTTTTAACAACTCTTGGTGCAGGAAGTTTTTAGCTGAAAAGTTTAGCAGTTGACAGTTAATGGTGTTTAGCTGCACCCATAGGATGCCTTTTAATCTAACTTTCATGAGTTCTTACTCCTTGCTCATTTCTAGTGCTATGAAATTGCTGTCAACATTTACCATATAATCCTGTAATCTTAATAGCCATGATACCTCAATAATCTCTCATGTCATGTAGGTTGGAATGCGTGCATTGCTTTGGTCTGTGGAAATAGCGTTGTCTGGTAAGAATGGTTTACTTTTCTGATAAACTTGTAGTGCTGATATATATGTGTATAGAAAATGTTGCCATTAAATTCCGAAATATTGAGTTTGGCTCCCTGATTATTCATCTATTAGTCTGTCCCTGCTCATACTGGTCCTGCCCTTCTTTTTTGAACGCAATGGCAGGAGCTTTGTCTTTCAATTAAGATAGGGAAAGAAAGTTTATGTACAAGCAAAGACAAACGAGATTAAGGTTTCATCCCCCCTTCCCCTCATACACCTGTGAGCTAAACGTACTCAAGAGCTCTCTTCCTTTGGTGTATGTCTTCCTTTATCCTTGCGGCTACTTGCGGCACCGTTAGTATCAAGTTGTCAAAAATTCTCCTATTTCTCTCCTTCCATATATTCCAGAAGGTGTAGATAACCACCCCGTTGAGCCGCCTACGCTCAGATCTTGGCACTTTCGCTGCCGCGTCTTCCCACCATGACTTGATGTGGGTGGGTTGTACCTGTAGTTGCTGTTGCAATTGAGTGAAGTTTTCCCACGATAGGATTTGACCCCAAACCGCCTTGGCAAAAGGGCAACAAAGGCATAAGTGGAGGCTTGTTTCTAAGGGACCGTTGCACATGACACGTTGTTGGTGCGGCCACCCTCTCTTTTGTAGGTTATGAGCCGTTAGAATTTTATCTTGCACTAAGATCCAGGCGAAGATCTTGCATCTGTTCTCCACATGCGCTTTCCAAATCAAGTCCGTACGGAAGGGGGTAGCGAACCTTTGAATTGGATTCTGTATGCCGAGCGGGTGGAGAAGTTCCCATCATTGGTCCAACGCCAGGTGATGGTGTCCTGGACGCCCTGCTGTAGGTGCACATCCTGTATTCGTATCCAGAGGGATACAAACTCCTCTATGTGGGTAGCCGAGGTGATTTTCGTCTCTAGCTTACGCATCCAATTGTGGTCCTGCCCTTCCAACAGAGTAAATTTAACTTTCTATGACTGTGACTGTCATATGACATGTTACCTTCTATGAACTGTTGTGGGTTGTGATGTGACTTGTCCTGTTCATCTCATCATTTGTAGTTCAAGCAATTCGCACTCAGGAAGAACTTAGACAATGTGTGCTGCAACTTGTGTCATCCTTGTAGGCTTTTAGTAAATATATGTTGCAGAGTTGGCTGGAAAAAAATGTGGTGATGCAACTAAAAATTTAGTTTTAATAGGTAGACTGGGGAGACAATCTTGGTTCTCAAGTCTGAAAAGTGAAAACAATGTCCATCTTCTTACACAAAAAATATTCATATATGAATATTATCTGTACAACAAACTCACCAGTTCTGTTTTAGTGGCAACAAACTTGGTCAGCACCGCAGGGAGGCTGTTACTTTGTGTAATGTTGTTGTTATTCTTACAGGAAAGGTGCTCCAACGACTCCACTGATCACTATTGCAATGACAAAAATAGTGGCTAGTGTATTGGAGAAGAACAACTTGCCAGGCGCAATTTTCACATCTTTTTGTGGGGGCACTGAAATTGGTCAAGCAATTGCCCTTGACACTAGGATACCTTTGGTTTCATTCACTGGAAGTACAAGGGTAAAACTCTTTGTTCTGATATTGTGTAGATCCTGTAACAACACCATGTTTTTTCCCTAGATGTATTTTCTGGTATGAACAGTTTTTTTTTTCTCCATAGATCTACTTTCTTGTAAGGACAGTACTATAAGACTGCCTTTTTTTGGGGGGGTGTGGGGGGTGTTGGGGGGTGCTTAACATTGTGTATGTCCATCGTACTGTGCTGATCTTTTTAAATATGCAACACTGGTTTCTTAATGCAGGCTGGTCTGATGGTTCAGCAACAAGTTAACGCAAGATTTGGTAAATGCCTTCTTGAACTTAGCGGAAACAATGCCATCATTGTTATGGATGACGCAGATATCCGGCTAGCTGTGCGTTCTGTCTTGTTCGCTGCTGTTGGTACAGCAGGACAACGCTGCACTACATGCCGTAGGCTGGTATGGTGTTTTTTTTATTTATCTTTTTCGTATTGTGGTTCATTTTCAATTTGTTTAATTGCCTTTCCCATATTATTACAGATTCTTCATGAAAGCATATATCAAACTTTCCTTGATCAACTTGTTGAGGTATACAAACAAGTCCGAATTGGGGATCCGTTGGAGAAAGGCACCTTACTGGGACCACTGCACACTCCTGCTTCAAAAGAGAACTTTTTGAAAGGCGTCCAGACCATCAAATCTCAGGTGAAGGTTAAAAGTAGTGCTACATTATTGGTTCCTACAATTATTTCAACCTCCATTACAATCTCATCAATCAATATAAATAGCTATGAGAATCATGTGATTTGGAGTTTACTTCCTTATTGGTGTTGAAAGTTAAATGTACCCCTCTGGTCACAAAAAAATTGTTTTCAACAAGATTTGGTTAAACCGTAAAAACTACAAACATCAATAACTTTTAAATTATTTAGTTCTGAAGCATGAAGGGCGGGCCTGGTGCAAGCGGCAGAGTCTTACCGCTTGTGACCGGAAGGTCCCGGGTTCGAGTCGCGGTCTCCTCGCATTGCACAGGCGAGGGTAAGGCTTGCCACTAACACCCTTCCCCAGACCCTGCACAGAGCGGGAGCTTTCTGCACTGGGTACGTCCTTTTTAGTTCTGAAGCATGTAAGTTATCTATGTCGATATGTATTCGAAATATTTGCAACTATAAATTTGAAGGATTTTAAGAATATATTCTAGAAGAAATTAATGGTCAAAAGATACGCATTGAAGTCAAATGTGACAATTATTTTTGCCCGGAGGAAGTATTACTTTATGTAAGCCATAAAATTTTAACAATATAATTTGACCTGTTTTATTCAGGGAGGGAAAATCCTTTTTGGAGGATCTGCCATTGAATCAGAAGGAAACTTTGTGCAACCAACGATTGTGGAAATTACACCTTCTGCACCAGTTGTGAAAGAAGAACTCTTTGGTCCTGTCCTTTATGTTATGAAATTTCAGGTAGCATATAGTTTTTTTGTATTTTCTTGCCTGTTCTAATTTCTGTAATTGGAAACCACTGTGTCTAATATTCACGAGGTTTGTGTTTCGTACAGACCTTGAAGGAAGCAATTGAAATCAATAACTCTGTTCCTCAAGGATTGAGCAGTTCTATATTTACAAAGAGGACAGATATAATTTTTAAGTGGCTCGGGTAAGTAGCTCAACAACACGGAGAATTTAATTGCTATTTGAAGAAAGGATGTCTCTGTTTTGTGGAAAGCAAATGAGAATTGTATTGCTCATCCCTCCTCTTTAGCATTAGATGCCCCTGTGGTGGTACAACATCGGTAGCATTCTGGTTTTTGCTTAATTTATTTTGGTTTACAAGGTATAACTTGAGAAAGTCTGGTTCACTATTTTTCTTCCTTTTGGTTGGTATCTTTACACAGCACACTATTGAGCCGCCGGTCCCCTTCTCTAGGACAAAAATTCATGTTTTTTGCATGCCAATATCATATATTCAATCTGATAATACCCAGTAAAGCAGTAAGCTCAGCTGGAGTTCCCATACATGGCATAAGCATTTAACCATACTCCTCTGCTACAAAATAAATCCTATATAATATATTTTGAAATTTGAATATTCTTGCAAAAAAAATCCATCTTTTGTGGGGTCCTTCCAGTTATATTTTTTGATTGCCAATAAGACAGTCTCACTGTTCGTTCTCTTATTATGCAGGCCCCATGGTAGTGATTGTGGTATAGTGAATGTGAACATACCTACAAATGGAGCTGAAATTGGTGGAGCATTTGGTGGAGAAAAGGCAACTGGTGGTGGACGAGAAGCAGGGAGTGATTCCTGGAAGCAGTACATGAGGAGGGCGACTTGGTAAGAGTATACACATTTTAGCTGTGATTGGATTTGAAATGGTACTATAGGCAATCATTGTTAGAGCAGTGCATAATAAGGGTCGCTGCGAAATAGTTGCATAATTTGATATTATAATATACTGGCACCAGTTGCCGCATGTCACACTGAGTCTAAGATTGTAGAGTAGGTACTGTGATGATGGTTATTTAGATGTCATTATTATACTCAGCTATCTTCAGCCAGGTTAGTTTCTTGCTTATAGGGCAGGCTGGAGACCCAGCCTAGTCTACGGTTTGGTTGTTTGGGTCCAGCCTTTTACTGTGTGCACTTCGCCAACTGCAAGTCTGCAACACATCTTTACTGGATATTCTTCTTAGCATAGTGGAATAACGAATCTACGCAAAGAGACATGAGTTACAAGTTACCCTTTGTTCTGATTGCCCCACTCATTTGTGGATTGGTATTTGTAACAATCCGTTACTGCACAAAATTACCTTTTCTAAGTATGCTCAAGATTCTTCACGTGCTGGCTCTGCCTTCACCCCGGCTTTACTAACCCATTCCACACATTTGCAGTACAATCAACTATGGGAGCGAGCTACCTCTAGCTCAGGGAATCAATTTTGGTTAATCCTGCAAGAGGGTTGCGCTGGATCTCGGTGTTTTCTGCAGACGTGGATGACGTATGGGGGAACTGATGCAACCGCGTTTGAGATATCTGCATAGACTTGAGCAGCGTCTATCGGCGTCAGTTGTCAAACCTAAATTGCAGGACAGCAGTAATAGCATGTGTACATAAAATAAGATGCTTGTTGCTCGTGGTCCGTGGTCCGTGGCACGTTTAGGTGCCGGTGCCCCAGTCTATCTACTAATAAACCGGCTCTCCTAAAAGAGTAAATCTTCCCATGTAACCTTCAAAATGGACCATTTAATAAGTAAACATTCTCATTCAGGCTCATTGTTATACTATGCAGTATATTTTTTTCAGCCTTTTGATCTGGAACTGAAGTGGAGTATTATTCGTTTTCAGTAACGAACACATCAAAGAAAAACGCTGCAAGAAGATCCGACAAAGCCATTTTCTTTCCCTTGGAAGGCAACAAATAAATTTGTCAGAAAGGCACCTAAGTGTGGTGCATTCATGCCCTAATTACAAGTTCATATACGTTGCTATTATTTTCCCTGTTGATGCGCTTTAGTGCCTCAAAACTTCTTCTGCTTCCTAAGAAGTCTATTCTTTTAAAAGCTACAAATCCTTTCTCTGCTGATTCAGCACCTGAATACAAAGATCGAAGTCGATCGGCATGCCGGGAATCTGTATGCAAGGCCATGTCTATCTCGTTGGTTGACATGTTCTCCTACGAAAACGAGACAGTTTTTCTGCCATTAATGTTTTAGAAGATAAAAGGAGTCCAAACTGATATGCGTTTATCCTTGTGTGTGATGATGAGTGCTGAGTGGTTATACCTGGTAGAAGTTGTAGATGTGATCCAGTACTTGTATGCACGTAAAGCCACCATTGTTATAGAATGTCTTCGAGGAAGGTCCAAGCTCTCCAAAACGATCAATAGGGAAGAGTATGGTAAGGAAGTGATTCTTGAAGATCAGCTCACTTTGCTCACTGCAAGAACAAAAGAAAGCAATTAGAATAGCAGATCGGACGAGGGTTGATCAATTTCAATTCCAACTAAGGATCACCTTTCTTTCAGTGGACGGGAAAAATTATCAGTTGGTTGATCTGGATCCCTCACATCCCCATTTGCATCAAAGTAAGTGGTGCTTTGCTGCTCATTGGCATCATCGGACCATGAAGAATCCATATAAATTGACGCAGATGAAGTTGGCTCAGAGATTGTCCAGCAGATTGAATCCAGAAGCGTGGCCGGTGTGATCGGGTGAATGGGTACTTCACATGACTGGCTTAAAACCAAAAGTTGGTCATTTTCATTTGACGAAATGAAATCAAGAATAGCTAAATAAATGTGCTGTATTTTATTAAGAACCAGAGAATGTTCAGCGTTCACTGTATAGTGTATCCTATGATCTTTTCTGGGTGATAAATCAACTTAACTTTAGCAGCTGACCACTAAACTGCCTGGGCAGCTGACCACATGCAGATTTATAGCAATGCACAAAAATACGAAATCCATACACAGATTAATCCACACAAAAAAGGAGAGAAACAAGGATTAATTAGGCATGAAACGAAAGGCATTGCCTCAATATAACCATGATATAAATGACTAAACCCATATTATATGCATATTAATGACTGATAAATTGTTTCTTATTTACTTATCAGTTTTGTGGGTGCATGCCAACGAAATCTGCAACTTGTAAAAATAACTTTTACCTGCATACGACGAGCACGGCGGTCTCGGACTTCTTTCTTTGCCACTTCAACAAACTTTTGCCTCTCTTGATGGACTTCATCGATCTCCTCTTGGGTTGATGGACGACCACACGAGCTTATGTTTATAGAAGGAACACTTCCAAGTTTCCTATTCTAAACGAACAGAAGATCTAATGTCACTTCAGTTGTAATCAAGCAATAGAAACTTACCACAAACAACAAACAAAGCATAAAATTTCAAATGCAAAGGATCGTGAAAACATAGGATCAATACATCACAGAATTCATTGGAAGAAAATTTAATGTTGTTCATCATGCAAAATAAGGAAACAATGTCAGGTCCATTACTGCCCTTCTACATGGACCACAATACCGCAGTATCTTGTCCCTTCTCACTAAACATGTCGCAGAAGGGTAGCTGCCCATTATCAAACATACTCTACTCTGTACTCTGTACTATCCATTATGAAGATAGGTACAGTAGGGTTTGATCATGTAATACTAAAGGGCAAACCAGTGCCGGAGGCTCCCACATGAGTGGGGTCTGGGGAAGGGAAAAACCGAGGCAAGCCTTCCCCCCGCAAAATCTGCGGAGAGGCTGCTTCAAACCCACGACCTGGTGACTCAGTGAGACAGCTCTCACCACTGCACTAGGCCTGCCCTTCTTTGATCATGTAATACTCCAGAAATCAATTCGGTATTTCTCAGATCCAATACAAAGAGGACCAAGAGGGGAAATGTCACAACAAAATAAGCATATAAATGAAAACTCCTTGTTGGTCATGATTTTTTTTTCTAGCTGATCAGAGCACAAAAAGGCATTTTTTGGATAATTGGCTCAAGAGTACAATTGTACAACATAGTAACTTACCTCTTCTGATGTTCGGACATTTTCCAGAACCATGGCAACATGCCTAGCTAGGTCAGAAGACAAATGGACAAGGCGCTGCAAGTTTTTTTCCTTCACTGTTTTCAACATCCAAAGCGGCTGATAGATGGAAGGAGTAAAGGTAAAGACAAAGCAACCCCTGGTAACTTAGCACCTAAGAAACAAATGCAAGGACAGACTGATAGTAATGCACTATTGCTTACAGTTACAATGTTGTCTGAGTGGCCTACATATCTCTTAACACAAGCATCCTCACAGACAATATACGTGGCAGGGCAACCAATAAACCAGTGCTCCAGCAACTTTGCACCTTCTCTAGTAGCAGCATCAGAAATCTGCAGTGAAGGGGTTTAGTAATCCTCGTAAGCTAAAGAAATTCAGATTAGTCATTGCATCACTTGAGCTGATTAGCAATTTTGTTTGCATGAAGTATTAACAGATTCATCAATCCAAATGGTGTTGCAAATGCAACATTCCATCAAAAGAAACAATAGAAATTACTCTTTTCCTGCCTAAAAGTTACAGTTCGGTAGCTTCGATTAATTGAGCAACCTTCAGGAAAAGTGGGAAGAAATTAGTTGGACAATACCTTTTTCCTCATCTCATCAGATATCCCAGGGTCAATGTAGATTGTGTCATTCATAAAAACCAACCCATCATGACCGCCTTCTTTCCCAGGAGTCTGGAGCAAATCCTTCCGGGTCATATCTGAGCATGCCTTGTCCTGAAATATCAGTGGTGGAAGGCAAGACTTCTCGTTAACAGGAACTCCAACAAGGCGGTTGAACTCCCCGTGCGGCACACCATTCTCCCCAATGCTCTTGATGGCATACAAGGATTCATCCAACCTCACTACAGTCAAAACATCACAGGATACAATGAAGCGTTAGACCGTCAGTAACTTCAGCCAAAATCGAAGGTCACAAGGTTGGTTCATGGAGCTTGAGCTTACTGTTCCTCCGCACGCAGTCCACAAACCAACCCAGGGTAACGAGGAATAGCCCGTTCCTCGGACCATGCTTCAGTGCATGCTCGAACTTGCGTCCGGCAAAGCTGTGCTGCAGGTTAAGGAGCCACAGCATCCATCCTGAATTGGGGAAGCAAATACTACTATACTAGTGCTATAGTGGACAGAGAAGAGTTTTAACAGCACGCGACGTTCATGTCGTGCAAAGGATATCTGAACCACGAGGTGCGTGCACTTGGGGTGCAAGCTCCCGCTGTACTCGCCCCCCAGCCGCTCCGTCGCCTCCTTCACCTGAACCCTCGCCTCTGCAACCAACCAGCCGAGAACACCAAAAACCCATCAAACAGGCAACCTTTTTCAACCTTCACCAGCAAAATCACAAGCAATTAAACCGCGCACCTTTGGACAGCCCAGTGACGCAGATGACGAGGCCTGCGAACGGCCCATCGGCGCGCGCCGCCGTCGCCGCCGCCGCACCGGTGGCGGCCCCGCGCGAGGCCGCGGAGGAGGAGGAGACGGATGCGGCGGATGATGAGGGGTTGTGATGCATCCCGGGGATCACCAGCCGCGCGCACCCCCTACTGGCGACCACCTCCACCCCGCTACGGCTACGCATCGACATCGCGGCCGCGTCGGAAGGCGGCGGCGGCTCTCGCGCCACGCATGTGCGGCGAAACTATTAAAAAGGGCGGGCGGGGTTCCGTGAGGTGGGGAGAAAGGGTGAGTGAGGAGGGCCTCGAGGAGGAGCCGGATCCGGTGCCGCTTTCGAGGGGGGTGCCGCTTTCGAGGGAGTTAATGTCGGCGATCGCGCGGAGACCTTCTCCGTCGGCCAGTGGAGGCTGGAGGGGGGCCTCGCGGGCGGCGGTGGATGACGATGAGGGCCGAGGGAGGCTGGAGGCGATCTGGCTGCGAGGTGAGGTGACCGTTGGGACGGTCTGGTTGCCTTGACTTTCCTTTTCTTTTCCTCTTTTTTTATTGGTGTTTTGGGTGCTGGAGGCCGGAGCAGCAGATGAGAGGCGGATGGAAGAACAGCGGTGGAGGCGAATGTTCAGTCTGGGCATTAAGAGGAACCCGTATGTGCATGTAAATCCAAAATAGATAGCAATATATTTAAAATCTGCCTTCAATAGAATATTTATACGAGAGATATATTTTGGGTTGTCTAAGAGGTATAACTTAGTATGGGAATCCTTTCTTCTGAAAACTCATTTGCAGAAAGGATTCTCTTTTGGATCTTGTTGTTGGAGAAAATGTCGAATAAGTATTAGGCGCTGCCAAAGAATAAAGGTGTCTTATATTTTGGGTGTTGTCGTTGAAGATAGACTTAGGTGTAGACACTGGACACACATGGTGAGATCATGTGATGGCGATAGTAGGTGCGCCGATATGTGGTTGTTTACTGGAGTAGACAGTGCGTTTTATTGTTAGAAATAGTTGGGCATATCGGTTGCTCTTGTTGAATATGCAAGTGGGTAGACGATGCTGTGGTGTTGATGTAGATTTTTTTGCTAGTGTCTCTTTCCGGAGAGATTTGAAGATATTAGCGTGTTCAGATGTATTAGTCTCTTGACGATGAATCTTGATGTTCACTGTTCAGTCCGTTTTAAGTTCCCTTTAGCTTCGTCTTAAGTTAAGCATGTTTATTTTTAACCAGATTTATTATAGAAAAATACACCAACCTCTTGATCATTAAATTTGTTTTATTAGATTTGTTCATGTAATATTTTGACAGAGGATTTATTTGGACTTGTAGCTGTGAATATATTTTTTCTTCTAAAAGCATGATTAAAGTTTTAAAAGTTTGACTTAAGGCAAAGTTAGAGTGAACCATAAATTAAAATTGAGAGAGGAGCACTGCACATATTTTATTTGTATCAATTGATTTGAGGTTCAACACGACCTCAATGATTCGTCTTCAAGAAAGCTAGGCTGATGTTTGATTTGAGGGATTCTCTTGAAAAGCAAGTGGCCTAGAAGTCGCTATGTATAAATGCTGTTGCTTAGCCATCTTGTCTTCCTATGGCCGAATGTCATTCGTGGTAGTATCCTCCACACATGCCCAAACAATGTTTGGGGCACCGTTGGCAATCAATGGTAAAGGATGGTAGTTGACTGTTGTGGTCGATAAGGAGCGCTCGGAGGTAGCATGGTAATAACATCAATAGAGATGTTGTAGACAAAGCTGCCTATTCGGTTGGCTGGTTCGTTTTTTTGTTGGTTTGTGAGGAAATACTGCTGTCTGGTTTGTGTGAGAGAAAAATACTGTTTCGGCTAGAAATTTATGATCGTTTACGATAAGCCACAGCCAAACGAACACTCTGAAGGAGTGCCGAGTCTAAAAGATGAAGACAAAACAGCAATAGCAACGATAACAAAACACAAGAAGTATCGTCGCTCAATTATAATCAGCATAACAGTCTTGTTTTACGAAAGATAGAGAAACCTATTTTATTGGGCATTAAATAAAAGGTTGAACTCTAAGCATAGGCCTTTGCGTTCTCAACTGGGTCTTAAATTTTATTGAGGTTCTAGCAAATTGCTAGGATTATCATGTTTTTATCCATCGTTACTATGCGCACGTCATTGCAATATTATTTCTTGATCGTAAATATAAATCCACCAGAACATTGGTACAATCTTCAATAGTGCACTTTGACTAACAATATTTACAAAAATACACTACTTAAAATTATAAGAGTTACTGTACTATATGTTTTATGAAGCATGATCCACGATAAATACAGTAAAATCAGCCTCATGTTGTCAATGCAAAAAAAAGTTTGACTTAGAACAGAGCTGAACATGTTTATATTTTGGGATCGAAAAGTGTAAAATTTGATACTCGCGAGGGTTTAGGGCACCATAAACACTTACTGAAGTGGTATTCAGCTCACTTCGCAGGTTTTGCCGTTCTCATTTTAATTGGTTTCTCATACTACTACTAGACTTTGAAGATACTTTTCTGTATTGAAAACCATTATTTATCGGGAGCTGCTAGGGTCCGGCAGGTCGGATGGTAACTTCGCGCCGGCAACGTGCGCGCCAAATAATTTCCCGCGCGCCGGCAATTTCCCGCTGCTGCTTCCGCGTGGTTATGTCCAATCCACCGTCACTCGCATGGCCCATGGCTCAGGCTTACCCATGGCCCACCCAACATCCACCGTCACTCATGCACTAAATAACGTAGGACGCTGGCTCGCACAACTGCACACTAAAGAACGCAGGGCGCTCGACTCGTACAAAGACGCCGTGAGCGTCATACCTAGAGAAGGAAAACAAATAGAAATAGAAATAGAAATATTAATTATTAATAGAGAAACAAAAATATCACATGGGAAGGGTTGAACACTAGATCAAAAGGTTAAAGCAATCAATCCTCACCACTACACCATACAAGAAGGTTTGTATTGCTTATAAAATATTTATATTATTATGAACTGTATTAGAGTATTTAAATATAATAAGAAATATTCCACCCTCACTAGAATAATGTTTAGATAAAAAAAATACCATGTGACATCTCACGAAATATATAGAAAAGCTATGTGAGAGATAAAATAAAATAAAAATATAAAAAATAGAATACAATCAAAAGTAATAGAGGAAACAAGGGGAAAAAACCTAAAATCATCAAAGAACATCACATGAATACTAATTGAATAGCCTAAAAATAAATACCATAGAACATCTCATGGTTACGATATGAATACTCAAAGATAATCGTAGAACATCTCATTTCTAAAATGCGAACATTCTAAAATACATCGTAGAACATCGTAGGTGTACTACGTGAACATCATAAAAATACATCATATATAGAACATCACATGTATACCATATGAACATCATAAAATACATCATTTAACATCATATTATACTACATGAACATCATAAAATATATCATAGAACACTGTGTGTATACCATGTGCATGTGAACATCACATGTATATTACGTGAACATCATAAAGTACATCACAGAAACAACACAAAATATATAATAGAACATCATGTGTATACTACATGAACATCACAAAATACACTATAGAACGTCACATTTATACTACGTGAACATCACAAAAAATATCATAGAACATCATTGTATACTACGTGAATATTACAAAATAAATAATAGAACATCTCATGAAATAAAAAATAAAACTAAACATGAACAAAATAATTAATAAGGATAAAATAGAAAAAAAAAAATAAAAAACTCTACAACAAACATAAAGACAAAAAGAAAAAAGAAATAAAAATAAAAAGAATAAAACATAAGAAAAAATAAAATAAAACAAACAAAATAATTAATTATAGTAAAAACAAAAAAAGAAAGATAAAAATATAAGAATGAAAATAATAATAATAATAATAATCCGCATAAGACAAAAAGAAAAATAAAAAGAAATATAAATTGAAGCATGAAAAGAAAAAGAATAAGAAAAAGAACAAGGAAAAAGAACAAGGAAAAAGAAAGAAAAGAAAAGGAAAAAAGAAAAGAAAAAAGAAAAGAAAAGGATTTTTTTAAAAAATATAAGAAAAATAAAAACATGAATCAAACAAAAACATAATTAGAAAATAAACAGAAAGATAAATAAAAAGAGAAAAAAACATATGAAAAGAAAATGAAAAAGAAAAAAAGGGAAAAGAAATACTATATAATAAAAAAAGAAACCAAGAGAAACACGTACCTTCCTACCACAGGCTGGATCCGGTGCCGTCCCGCCGCGGCCCCACCGAGCGAGTGAGCCCGAGGCCGCGAGACGCGTGCCAGCCCGCGCGTGGTTTTGGCGCGCTTATCCGGATGGCGCTGTTCGGCGGAAGGATCGGGTCCGGCCGGATGAATCCCGTTATTTATCCGATAGAACATGCAAATAAATATACAATGCCCATAGCCAAACCCACTGAATAAATGACAAAGAATGAATTAAGAAGCCATAAATTTCTGGCCAAACCTGTCGATTCATCCTTCCCTTTGCCACCGGACACGACCTACGGTGTACACTGTACAGCACAGCGCCTCAACAGAGAAACCCTTCCAATCCAACCGTCCACTTTCTGGCGCACTTTTTGTACCGGCGCACAGTGAAGCCGCAGCCCGGATCACGTGCCCTGTTGCGCCCAACCATCATGAGCGTCCAAGAGGAATCCTCTTCCCGGCTCGGCGGCCCGGAAGGTCCCTCTCCCCTTCTCGTTGCCCGCCGAGAAAGCCTGCGCCTGCGCCTGCGGTTGACCGGAAAGCGGCACCAACAAACCCCTTCACGCGAGCGGTGTCCGGTGCGCCCCTTTCCCTCGTCTGGTCCACGGGATTGAGTGCGGAAGACGCAGAGCCATTGGAGTCTGGCAGTGCAATGATTAGCACGGCGCTGCCCCGCTCGGGTCTCCATCACCGATCTGCGATCTCTCCGTCCGTTGATGCGATGCGAAGTGCCCTTGGAAAGCAGTCGCTGCGCGCATCAACATTCTGTTAGACTCGGAACGCACACCCGGGCGCTGCTTTATGGCGCTCGGATTCCTCACCCCCGGCGTGCAGGAGCAAACATGCATCATCCCGTGGAGACCTGACCTGGGAGTCTGGGACGCTCAATCAAGCGTGGTGCATCATGGCCTTGTTTAGATGGTGGTTGAGAATCAGTAGTTGGCACTGTAGCACGTTCGTTTGTATTTAATAATTATTGTTTAATTATGGTTTAACTAGGCTCAAAAGATTCGTCTCGTAATTTACAATCAAACTGTGTAATTAGTTATTTTTTTATCTACATTTAATACTCCATGTATCCAAAAATTTGATGTGATGGAGAAAGAGTGAAAAAATTTAGAATCTAAACAAGCCCATGCATCCAAACATCTTTACGTACGCCGTCTTCGAATGTTACTGGACCACTGGAAGTCTAGAACATACCTATGTGCTGCCTGAATCAATCACCTGGCAAAACTTTCAGAAATTGGGAAACGCGCTCACTGTTCACGGATACTTCCTTCTATTGTAAGTAAATCATGCTTCTCTCATGGGGATCAATGACGCATTGTGTAGCACGAGATTACAAGAGCTTGGTTGGATTATTATCCATCTGATTTCAGGCCCATTATGTGGTCCTGCTGCTCGTGGACGACGCCACGCTGCAAACTGCCAGAAGGCCATGGCCAGCTGCTGTTGATTCGGCCCGTTCGTTTGTGGAAGTCGTCCAACCAAGTAAGCTACGGGTGGCCCATCCCATGCGTTGGCCCACGTAACATCATACGGCTGCGGATGAGCCGGGACAGAGAAGGCGGAGCAGTGATCAAACGCAGCATGGGCATGCCGCTCTGGTCCCGCCTCCCTGGCACGGGCCGGCACAGGCCGCGTAGAAAATCGCCCCGCGTCCGTGTGAAAATCTGGGCAGAAACGTGGCCCACTTAGACCTTCTCTAAAAGTGCCCTAACATCATCATAACCAAAAACTTATTTTAGGTATTTGCATCCAATAGTTTTTACGATCATCCAAAACTAATTTTTTTGCCTTTTTTTTGTTAACCTTGGAGATGCTCTTAGAGCTAGAAGCCCATCATTTTGGTTGGGGCACTGTTGGGCTTTCTAATCCCCAACCCGTTATAATGGAAAAAAACAAACGAGAGAAAACTTCATAGTTGGTCCTATTAAAATTAAGTCTTCTCTTCTTGGTCCTGATAGATTTCAACTTACCTATTTGATCCATATCTACCTTTGATTCCTTTTATAGCCTTTTCGTCACTTAGAGCTTCTCTAAAGGTGTCCAAACATCATCATAACCAAAAACTGATTTTAGGTATTTGCATCCAATAGTTTTTTTTACGATCATCCAAAACTATTTTTTTGCCTTTTTTTTTTGTTAATCAACAGCAATAGCAACGGACTAACCCTGCACAAAATAGGAATGCACTATATTTCAAGACGGAGGGAGTACTCCGTATTTATTATGGGATGGAGTATATATTTTGGGAACCCTGCACCAAATAGGAACGTACACAACCATTAAGCTCTTTTATTCCGAGACGAAAGAAGAATTATATTAGATCATAGCTGATTACATCATCACGTTACAATCATTCTGGAATACACTATGTATGTCTAGAAACTGATCAACTAAATTATACCCACGCTTTATATAGCTTCAAATCTCAACTCCAAACCTGTATGACGATTTATATGGATGATCGCACAAGCAAACATTTGGCAAAAGGCCTGAGAACAGATAGCCAACGAACGACAGCCAACATTCCTGCAGGCGAAGTGGAGAAACTTCTTCTTTCTCGTGTCTTCCTTCTTCTTCTTTCTGCCACCGAAGAATAAGGAAGACTGATCTGAAAATTATTGTCCCTGGTCCTTCATCGTGGTCCGATCTAACCACAGCAAAACGGAGAAGAGACCGGAGAAAACTATTCCGTGGCGGCGACATCATCTCCGCCTTGATGTCACCGTCCGGAAAGCCAAGTCTCCATGTCGTCAAGCTGAGGAAGTTAAAGTTGCTGACGCCATTGTCGCCCTCATCTTCCACAGAGCCACCATGAAGAAAATGAATCCACCCTGCCGCCCGCCGCTGCTGGGAGGAGGAGGGGATAAATCTCCAGTACCAAGAAACTTGACATGGAGAGACGCTAACCCTAAAGGACTCGATCTACTAGAAAAACTTATTAAAAACGATGGATCCCCACCCCTCCACCCTCCGGCAAGATGCTGGAGGAGGAAGTGAGGGAGACCAACGGCGGTGGCGGCGCTCGCGAGGGCGAGGGAGTCGTGAGTCTTTCTCACAACCATTAAGCTCTCAAACATCTTCAATAAAAAGTTTAAAGTTTAAGATCATACCCTAATCATCGGTTCTGTACGGAATTGTAGGGTCCAACCAAGAAATAATAATGTTGAAACGCCTCCTTCTCAGTCTTACTAAACGCATTCGGCGATTGAACATTCATTCAGGACCACCATACATTCCTTGTTTGATACTAACATAACAGATCGAGACACACGAGTCAATGGAGTAGGAACATGTTTTTACTAGTACTAGTATACGAGGTTATTGATGGCAGCTAGCTTGTGGCTACAATTAGCTGCTCCCTAATCCTCCATACCTACGGGACCATTTGATCCACACACACTTCATACTCCCACGACGCGCAGCTTAATTTGACCATTCTCCCACGACGAACGCCTCGCAGGTCGCAGCCAGCCAAGTCGTCGGACGTCGCACAGTTTCCCCGATACTGCATGCTTGACGGAGGGTTTCCGGTTTCGATCAGGCGAGGGAATTGAAACGCGCGCGGGGATTCCAACTCAATTCCATCTAAATTCTCTTCGTGTTTGGCGCACGCACGCATTGCCATTGCCGCCGATGGATCGAGCGAGCGAAGAAAAGTCCACTCCAGGGTGATATATATATATATATCGCCGTGGCGTGGCGTGGCGTACGTGGCTCATGCATCTCGAGGCCAGGCCAGCGCACGCGCCGGGGGACAACGACGCCGATCGACTCGATCCTTATTATCTTGTCGTCGCCAAGCCCGGCACGCACCACATGCTCTTCGTTCGTCGTCCGTCCCTTGCACGATCGCATCCAGGAAAACAGGCCCGAGGCCGCACGCAGTACGTCCCTTAACTTTTTGGCAAGATAGAAAGTGCCAGATTTTGATCAATGATGGACTCACTACAGATGCAATTTCTAGAAGCACTGATACTTGTGATACGAAATAAATATAACTAGATTGATTATGTGATATATTTTAATAGTATATCTATTTGACGTATAATGTTTATTTTTTTTATAAATGTGGTTAAACAATGATAATGTGAGTTTTTAGTCATTTGTATCTCTATTCTTTTGGAACCAACTGGTATTGACAATGCCTACAAGCAGGTAACCCTGGAGGCTAAGCACATGGAAAAACAACAACTACTACTACTTAAACTCAGTGATTGATTGGGTAATAAGAACAATATGAGGATGTTTGGTTGACGGCCACTAGCCGCCACGCCATAGCTATGGCTCGCCACGAGAATCTCGGTGTTACTTTTTTACAACACAGACCTCGCCACAGGGTGTGGCGTCAAAAACCACGCCACCGCCACAACTTGCCACACTTTAGGTGTGATTATATGTGACTGAGATCTAAACAACCTTCATGTGATTTTGAAAAAGAAGATAAGAAATGGGAGTGTGTTTGACCGAGGACATAATAACTGGAATTTCATTTTTTAGAGATGAGTTAAAAAAAGGGGAGATTATTAGAACGACGTTTAGACAAATATATTGGAAAGGCTAAAACAACGGTGACGTTGGGAAGCGGCGGAGCACGTGGCATCCGCACCGGTAAGTTTCCCTTCGTCCACGAGCTTCTCCCGACAGGCCTATGTGATCACTCGCGTCGCCAAGGCTAAGTCGGCACACGTAAGGACAGACGCAACGGCCGGATCGGAGCGGACGTCGATCACGACGTACAGAACCTTGCCATCGCCGTCGTGGACGTGCAGAGTGCACGTGCGCGCACGCACGCGTCCACCATACACAGGCTTTCCACGAAGGGCCGTGGCCCATGCCCGGGGCGCTGGGGCCTGGATGAGGCGAGGCATGGCAGGCGGCTGTTGGTCGCCAGTGCCGCGGCCGGCGGCCTTGCGCCACCTTGCACGCCCGCCTGGCGGCCGCTGTTCGGAGACGTGACGGCGAGCAGAGACGAGGAGCGACTACACCGCCTGGATGCGACGGGTGAATGGTGGATCGATAGCAGTATAGCACCGGCTGCGGCTGAGAAGATGGGATACCGGCGGCGCTGCGGTTTTGCCCCTACAACAACACAGCAGCGCAGCACCTTACTATAGTCGATCGATCCCAAGTTGGTGAAAGAAAGAAAAAAGAGAGAGAAGAAATGATCGTCAAGGTTGGGATGATCCGCCGCGGTACGTACGCCTGCAGGGGCGTAAGCGCCCTCGTGCTGCTAACCCCTTTGCTTAAGGAATAAACACGTGGTTTGGCACACACGCGTCGGGGCCCGACCAGGCGCGATGGGATCCGTTGCGGCGCGGTCGTGACACTGGTGCGCAACTTGCCCTCGATCGCGCGCGCGCGCCCACACCACACCACACCCTTTTCATTCGCTCCATGTGGGGCAGTGGACATGCAGCTTCGGGCTTCATAATAATTAATTAACCAGTAGGAGTAGTTTCTTGGTTAGATTATACTCTTGACAAGCCAACCTACTAGCTGTAGCATCGAGAGACTAGCCGCTAGGCGGGGCGGGGTTAGTTTGCAGTGCTTTTGCCTGGAAGATATCAGCCGACTCACACTGCCGTTTTGCAGTTACCCGTCCCGTCCCAGCTTTGTTGTTTCTGCCCAAGTGAGTTTGTGGGATCATCTTTCTACAGTACTAGTAGTATCTTTCTACGTGAGGTAGCAGCAGCAGCAGCAGTAGCTATCACGCCGGCCATGCCAGCTGCGGCCGAACGCTCCAAAACGAGCCTCGGAACTTGAGCACAGCCAAATAGCTAGCTCCGGTGCTCCACCTCCACCAGTAAACTCGGTTCTGTGCGCCAATCCTGTATCGCCGATTGCCGCCACCGAAGAAACCCTTGCACCTTGCTTGCCTATATCTGCCGCTCCCGGCGGGCCTGCTCTCACTCTCAGCTAGGGCCTTCCACTCCTGCTAGGCTGATCCCTCATCCCATTCCAACGACGTGTACTGCTGCCGTACTGGTGGTGCGCCGTGGTGGTCTCCACTCTCCAGTTCTTAAGGATATGAAGGTGTGAAATTAAAGGCATATGTCATTAGCAGAGTCCTTGTTTGTTCTTCGATCGTTCCTGACGGCGAATTCCCTCTCTTCTCCCGCAGATTTTCAGTTGGGTAGCCAACAAGATCGGCGGGAAGCAAGAACCAAAGCGATCTGCCGCAAATTCTTCCGCACCGGCTTATCGTAAGCCTACTTACTCTGCAAATATATATTTCACTTCCTTCGCTTGAAAATTCTTTCATAGCTTTCTCTGTCGGAGAAAAATTCCTTTTGATGTCTGCAATCTTTATTTAGCGCACATACGCCGCTTCAGGTTTTTATTTGAAGTATTCTTGCATAGCAGATTCAACTTTCTTTTCTCTCTCATGAATATCTCTCCTTCGTATCAACTTCTTGATCTCTCTATTTCCTTGCATGAATGCATATAAATAGCTTTGATTAGTGTATCCTCTTGATTAGTTTTCTTGCATGGTTGATGCGCTTCAAAATGCCCGTTTCGGAGGTGAATGTTTTTTCCCAAAATTTTTCCTTCCTTGCTTTACGGTCTGCTTGGTGCGGCTCTCGCACGGCTCCCGGCTCTGTGTCCGGTGGCGGAGCCACACAAAATGGTGCTAACAGGAGGAGCACTTCTAGCGTTGAATCGGTGAGAAGGAGGTGTGTTTTTTACGGCAGGCGAAGCCACAAATTGGGGCTTTGGCTCCGGCACGGGAGCACGTGGAGCGGAGCCCACCAAACACCCCCTTAACGAGTGCAAGTGAATAAGATGATCAGGGACTTTGAGTCTGCTTCTTCCTTTCACCGTTCTACTTCAGTACTCTATTCTTCTTTTCATGATCTATAGTTCTATATGCTTCTCGGAAAGGTGATTATTGTTAGCAAGTTCTTTTGAGTTGCCTTTTCGAAGGAAATGAAAAGGAGAAGATAATGTACTCAACTCGAAGTCCTGTCATAGTTCTTTTTCCGGCAATGCTGGTGTTCATTTTGCTGATCACGTATCAGTTTCGATGGTTCAGTCATACTCCTATCTGTCAACAGTCAACACTGTGGGTTCTGATATGTTCACAAATATCTTCCAATAATAATATGCTAAGGAAATATATAGCAGTTGATATATGCATGAGCGCTAGTGCGCTACAGTACATGCCATTATGTTTGTTCTTTTCCTTCATTTTCTTTGCATCTACTTTCTGATTTTCTATAATTCAAAACCTTTCTTTCATCCCCTAGTACGAGAAAGAGGTGAGGTTTATTCGCTTATGTTATATACTTGGGCGTGATTTATTTTACCTCGGATGGTTCCGTACTAATGATACAAGATTGTCCACTTGAGTTACATTTCTAACACAGAATGCTTACCTCGGATGGTTCCCTACTAAGGGATCATATCTGAAGGCCAGTGGTTCATTTCTTTGTTCTTTATTATTCTTAGAAAGGCTAGATGGTACGGTGGTAAACATCTTCGGATGCTGCTATGTGATTGGGTGATAACCAGCATGATATTCAGGTTGAAACATCGTGGTGTGGAGTAAGCATGGGCAAACATGTTTCTCATCAGTGATAGGCTAACGAAAACAACAGCGATTTGATTTTCGAAAAACAACAACAGCGATTTAAATTTACCAAAACTAGTGGTCCATGTTCCAATTTATGCTAATATATTCACGTAGGACCATAGATTTTTTTTTTGTTTCTGTGTACTGATTTGGCAAACTAATTTACTTCTAATAATGCGCAGGTGGCAACGTATCAGAAAGTCGCAACGATGAGTTCAGTGATTGGCCCCAATCATTGCTTGCAATTGGGACATTTGGAAACAAGCAGCTCGAGGAAGAAGTAGCAGAGAGCTCTTCAGCGAATGTTCAGGCGACGCAAGATCCCGCCAAGTTTACAGAGGAGGAAGTAGACAATATACGAAGAGAATTCGAGGTGCTCCTGCAAGGCAATGGTCAAGCAGAAGCTCAGGGCTCCTGTGAAGATGAACAGGTAGCTTCGAAAGAACATGACGGTGAAGATAACAACGAGAAGCAGCGCAGGGACAGGGAGCAATTGATGAACAGGGAGATGATCATAAGCAAAGCGAGAGAAATAGTAGGGAAGAAAAAGAGTGCTAAGCTCAAGCCAAGATCGATGGCCTCGCTCCTTAGATTACTCGTGTGCAAGGGCGGGTTTACCACCCCGGTTCTGGAACCAAGGAACTCTTTCCCCCAATCAAGAATGGAGAAGGTACAGCCAATTTCTTCTTTAAATTTGTAGTGGTAGCTTACCAGTCACTGCGCCTTATTTGCATCTCGTTCACATACTAGCTATGTGGTTATCGCTGCAGCTGCTCAAGGCAATCCTGCAGAAGAAAATACACCCACAGAATTCCAACACGGTAGCAACCAGGAGGCACTTGGACTGGAAGCTAGACGAGAAAGAGATCAATGAATGCCTTGAGGTTGAGGATGCGCTGCGTGATCTTGATGACGATGATGGCGCAAAGTGGGTCAAAACTGATTCAGACTGTAAGTACTATACTAATTCGCTAGCGAAATTCCATGACAGTCATGCGCATCACATTTCTTTTACACATGGGACTCAATTTATGTCCTTTTTCTTGCTTTTTCAGTTATTGTGCTTGAAATGTAAAGGCGCGTGTGGTTATGTTTGTTTCTTTTAGGCCAGGTATGCACTTGTCTTCTGAACCATAGAGCTTTCAGGTTTATATTAGCGCATCATCGATCTTTCATTTGATCGCTTGTCCTGGTTGCCTGATTGGTTTATTGGATGCTCAGGTTCCGAAGGTCTTGGCGGGGGCTTGGTGCATTCACGACGCGATATATATGATATATAGAAGGAATTATGGGATAATGTAAGCATGAAGCTATCATGTACCATCTGTAATTTGGATTATGATGATCCTATTCCATGTCTGCTTCTCTTGGGTATGAGATTGTCAAGAAGGCATCCGATTTTTTTTTCAGAGTGCCGTTGGCCGTTGACATTCCTAGCTATTCCTGTTGAATCGTTAGGATCATCTAGGTGTAGATTGAGGATTGATTCATTTCTATTTGGCTTAGAACAACCAACAACATGAACTAGAGAGAGAGAGGAGAGAGGAATAGAAGAAGAACGTGTCGAGCCTGACACCGCAGAGGAAGATCCAGAAGCCGCCATCTCGTTCGTCGGTGAAGTCTGCGCACGGGCAGCGACGTTCGGGGAAGAGGTCAACGAAGTCGTCGACGTCGGTGGAGCGGGGCGGCGCGGCTAGTGGCTTCCCGTTATTGACTGCGCCCCTCTCTAATCGGGATTAGGGATTAGGGTTTAGGTTTCGGTGGGGAGCTCGGCTCAGGTGAACCTTGTACACAGAGCCACCGGCCCCCCACCTCTATATATAGCGTAATGTGACAGGGGTCCTCCAGCCATAGTGGGTGTAACACCCCGGGTGTTCTAAATACTAAAACCTGCCATGTCATCATACGCATTGTACATCATTTCGTATTAGTGAAAACTTTGATATGCATACACTAAAACAAGTTTACATTTATGTTATAAGTATTGCCTTGTATGGTTTGGATCAAGTTCAAAGTTTTGTTTGGATTTGGATTTCCGAAAACCCTTATTTCTAGTGATTTGTTTTAGCCCCAAAAAATCTAATTCAAAATCGAAGTACATTTTGGGGTTGAGCCTTAAAACAAAAATGTAGAGCTTGTCGAGTTGTACAAAGTTGGTTTTTGGAGTTTTCAAAGTTGTTTAGAAAAATTTGAAGTAATTTGAAAATGCGTAATTCTTTAAATTTTCCATTTTTTAATTCAAATTTGCATTTCAAAATGTAGACCAAATTAGAGGGTGGTTATAAAAGAAAAGTTGTAAAACTTTGAATTTTGAACAACTTTTATTTTTGGAGATTTTTGAGTTGTTACATAAATTTGGGAGTAATTTGAAGATTTTGGCGAATATCAATTCTGTAAATATGGGAAACAGTGTCCCGTGGAAGACACCTCATCGCCGGTGAGCTTCTATCTCGTTCTGGTCGTCGCCGTGGCCGTCCTTGGCTTCGCGCTGGCACGGGAAAGGCCCTGCGTGGCTTCTCCTTGCTTCTGAGCCGCTCTATAAGGACTTCATCGTCGCCATTTTTCGCCGCTCTCCTCCTCTGTTTTCCAGTCGCCATCGGCGTTGCTCCGTCGTGCATTTGCCGTCGCCGTAGTGCCTCCACCGTCTCGGCAAAGCTTGTTCCAGTTGCGCCTACTCCTTGCGCACCTAACCAACCAACTCTGGTCACTTGATTTCACCGGAAATCGCCGCTCGCCGCCTTTCTTCTTCGTGGCCGGCAGTACCGCCGTAGCAAGCGCGTCACCGTGGCTGGAGCTCCACGATGCGTCTTTGCTCTTGCTCAGTGTAGCTCCAGCTTCGCTTTGATCCCGTGATGCTCTATGACCGGTGGTTTAATCCTTTTGACCACTGCAGTCGACGGAACGCCGCCACCGACGACCGTTGCTCCGCCGTGGCCGCTGTGACCGTCGAACCACGTCTCCATTGCTCCTCCGGCCTTGCTCTCTGCTCAGTCGTGTTTGGGGTGAGCTGCTGAACCTTTCTGTGCCGTTTATTTAATCGCTACCGAGCTCCTGTCGCCGGCGTAGTGTCGCCGAGCCACCGTGTCCGCCATGGCCGGTGTCGAGCTCGGGTTGTGCAGTAATCGGTGCGATTTGTGCCACCAATCGATGCGTCTCGTCGTTGTGACCACGGTGGTACCTTGGCCGTCGCCGTTGACCTTACCGTCGACGAGAAATCGTCGGTCAGCGCGCGTGTCGCCGTGGTCAGCGCTGGTGGTTGGGGATGACTAGTGGGGTCGGGATGTCAGTGACTCAGCGGTTTGAAAATAATTTTTTCCTTTTTTAGAAATGGATGAATAGTGATAGTTTTTGTTATTTTTGTGCTGAATTAATTAGAGCTCCAAAAATTATAAAATTTTTTGTGTGACCTCTCTGTGATGTATATTATTTTGGAAAAATATGAAATGTTGTTTTCAGTAATTTTTGAATGTGATAAAATTATTCAAGTAATTAATAAATGGGTTTCCATGATTTTTCTAGGCTTATTTATTTATCCAAAAATTATGAAAATTGTTTTGCCACTTAGTTATCATAAGATAAACATTTACAAAAAATTTGGGCTCAATTGGAATAAGTTGATTTATTTCATAATTATTAATTAAATAATTAATTCATAAAAGCAAATAGTAACCTTTGATGATTTAGGTTTGGTTTGAATTTTAGATTGAGTGATGACCTTGGGTCATTGGTTGGTAATGATCCTTGGCAATTGAATTAAGTGTTATGAAAAAAGGTTTAGTTAGTTTGACTTGTAACTGTACCGCGAAGGAAAATTGTATTTAAGTTGTTAATTTTGCATCCATCATCGAGCATCATGTTTTATATCTCGCATCATGTTAAACATGGCATTGTTACTACGTGTAGTGAACGAAGGTGAGCACATGGTAGTTAATCAAGTTGTGGAAGAAGTTAATCCACCTGTGGAGGTCGGATTTGATAATTGTGGAACGACTCTAGAACCTAACTTTTTCGTCAACGAAGGCAAGCCCCGGATGCATTTAAACCTACCTTGTGATTTGATAAATTGATTTTGCTTTTGCTTTTCTTTACTACATTAAGTGATTAGGAGTTAAGTGAAAACCTAATTGGTGCATTACCAACCTTATTTTTTCATATCTACCTTGTTACCAGTTTTAATTCGTATATGTCTAGTTATGCTTAGCTATGCTTAGACAGATAAAGGTCAGGTGATTACCTATCACCTACAAGTTTTAAATGGATCTTTGGTTACTTATGTTATCATGTAATATGGGAATGTGGAGTAATAAATCTAGACCGGGTGGACTTGGTGTGTGAGAGCCACAAGACATGGAGGTCTTGTGAGCGAGTTCTTTCTGCCTGTGTCGATTAAGGTCCGTCCGTTGTTAATTTCATGAGGTGAGACTTTGTAGTACTAACCACATACTTCGGTAAGCCTTAACTTGGCTATTCTATTACGAGAATGGCTACTCGCGCACTGGGAGTAGAGAGATGGCGAGAATAGCGTGTACCCACATAGTAATGGGCTGGATTGGTGGAGTACTGTATTCTCGGGTGGCGTGGATCCATTCTTGTTTTAGAGGATCTAAGGGTAGGTTGGTATATGTAGGTCGGGGACCTACATATGTCGTGTGGTCTGGAATTCCCAGCTGGGTTTTAATCGGTTCGAATCGTCGTTGCTCCTCGGTTATGGAGACTCAACTCACTGTTCATCATCGTAGTTTAATAACTGGAACTTGAGGATGGTTTGAGAAGGTGTTGGATATGAAGTTTCATGATCTCAATGCGGATCATGTCAGCTTTGTATATGATCTTTATAAAGTTTTATATGTTGAAGTAAAGAATTTTGTTAAAGAGCTTTTACGCAAAAGAACTTTGATTATTGCTAAAGCCATACCTTGAATCCCTGAGCCTGTATTCCTGAGTTCTATCAATTTTTATTTCGGTTAAGTCTTGTTGAGTATTTTTGTACTTAGGGTTCGTTGACCCTTGTTGCAGGTGAGGCTCATGAGCAGGTCTACTTTGGACCGTGCTGCATGACTTTTGTTCAATGCGATGATGATAAGTAAATGCGTGGCCCTTGGGCGGGGCAATCCATTTGTGTGTTCGTATTATGTTATAATGCAACTCCACTACTACGTTTTGTAATCATTATCAAACTTAGTTGTAAGGTTTGAAACTACTGTTTTGTAAACTATGTTATTGTAAGACTTCCGCTGTTTTACTCTGGTGTAGATATTTGAATAAATGTTGTAATACTGTAATGACTCTGTAATGTGATCCTGCTCGGAAATCATGGATGATTCGGGGTTCCCCGAGTACACCCGATAGTCTTCTTAAGTTAACTGGAACATATGCATAGTTGTCAGAGATCATTGGATAGTGACAGGTGCTTATGGGTCCAATAATTTAGGAGGTTCTGCCACAGAATGGTATCAGAGCAATTGTTACAAAGTCTTTGTTGTTTTATTTTACAAAAACTTCAAAATGATTTGGGATGACTAAATTTAACTTGTTAATTGGTCCAAATTGCTTCTGACTTATCTAATTTCTTTCTCACCAATTCCTTATTTGATTAAAAAGGTTGTGTGTGGTGGAGTAGTAATATTATTATGCCCTATATAAAAATAAGCTGTTGTTTATGTACTTTATGAGCTTTGATGTTTTTGTTTGTAAGAACGATTCATGCATCATGATTCATTCACTTGTTACTTCCTTCACCTCTGAGTCTGGGTTGGGTAGTGAGTCTGGGTTGAGTTGTGTAGTCCACCCTTGCTACTCTTGAGACTATTGTTAGATTGTCTTATTTGGATTAATCTTGCTTCCTACAGTATGGCTCGTACCAAGATGAGACCCCGTAAGTCCGTTGGACCCAAAGGAGTTCCTCGTCATCAGCTTGCCCCTAGGAATGACGGTGCTAGCAGTAGCAGCTCTAGGCCTGATCCCCAGGCAGAGATACAGAGGATTTCTGCAGAGTTAGCACAAGCTACTAGAGATAGGGCTGTGGATGCCATCTAGATAGGAGAATTATAGGATCAATTGAGGCGTCTCACCACC